ACCTCCAACCCCCCCCTGCGAGACAAGGCTAAGGCGATTGCCCAAGAGTACCTCCACCTTAACTTAATGAAAATATTTCAATCAAGTGGATTTCTTGTCCTAAGGTTGCCGCAGTTCGCTTGCTCTGTTTGTTCTTAGCTGGATTTCCATTATCAAGTATACGCCGCATAGGCCGCTTATCAGTTTTTGGTCAAAACGAAACAAAGCGAAAACAAACAAGATCACCGAATGCCATAAAAGTCACGGCTTAGCCACACACTGAATTCTCTTTGCTGACACTCGATCGTTCAGATTATCTTTAGTTTTATGACTACTATAGTAATTCCCATAAAGGTGGGGGGGGAGTTACTTGGCCTAACCATAAATCAAGCTGATATATGGAGCGGGTTTGGTATGAGGAAGTTTTGGGAGAGGCCTCCAGGAGTTATGCCTAGGTTTTATAGGTTGAAAAATATTTAAGCCTGACAAGGATGAAGGTTGAACGAGGCTTAAAGATTACTTCAGGGACAACAGATAAAATATCAAGTGGCTGTAGAGCTTATGGGGCTTCCTTAATTGTGTTTTCTAGATTTCTAGAATTTCCGCAAAAGATTTTTGATTGAATTGCAAAACAAATTGATATCAAAATATCAAAACAGAACTTGAGACTTGTACAACATGGCGGATGATTAATAAAAATGGATTAAAGTGGAATATTTAATTTATTTTTTTAGTAACATAATCAATTGTTAATTTTTTAAGAATGCTCTTAAATTAAAATATTAATTATATTTTATATTAAACTAAAAAAAATATATTAATGCATTTAAATTATATAAAAAGTAGGGTCCTTCCAAGAATTAAATAATTTTTATATAGAAAGAACTATTTTCTGGTAGATGAAAAAAAATTAAATTTAAAAATAAAATGTATAAACAAAAATTATTACTTAGAAAATATTTAAAATTTCAATATACGAATTTTGGATTATATATTTATAAATATAACATTTTCCTCACTAAATTTTAATGATTATTAAAAAAATGTATTTAAAAAACAAAAAATTTATTTTAACACAAATCCCTGCATTAATGCTTTAAAAACTATAGATAATTATTTATTAAATATACAAAAATTAAGACTAATCCTTCAGATTTTAAAAAGTTTACCAATTAACTTGGCTTTATTGTAAAATAATTCCCTTTTTCATGTGGAATTTTACCTGCATCCCTTAGACTTCGCCACCTTCCATAATTCCTAGTTATTGCCGTATTTTAGAAACGAAACAAATAAGAATCGAGTACAACAACTACACCACTAAATAGTATCATATCGTGTGTGCCGGATGAGTGTGTGTGTGTGCGGGCATAGACAATATGCGAGTATAGCATAGCATAGTATATATTTTGAATGGTGCGCTTTGTATCGGCCTCCGAATGTGTCTAGAGCTTCAATAGCAGGCCAGGGTCATGCGACATGGGAGGAAAAACTAAAACTAAACTGACGCGAAACTGAGCGAACTCGCGGTGCATGTGTGTGTGTGCGTGTGTATTTGGTGTCTGTGTGTCTATTGATATTCGGGAGATTTAATGGTATGGGTGCGCCATACGTACGTAGAGCCCGTTATCGGAAGAAAACGCCAAAAGCTCGCGTTCATTGCCTTTGCGAACGATTTTGACTCTCTTTCTGTCTCTTTCTAGTGCGGTAGCTCTCACTCTCACTCTCCCCCTCTCTTTGTCTCTCTTTTAGATTGGATTTTTTACAAAGTAATTGATGTTATTTAATTTTGGTTTTAGTTTCATCGAAAAATTTAATCTTTAAGAGGAAGGAGAGTTCATTTTTTATTATTTTTTTTTCTTAATTTTCTTAAAATATTTAAAAAAATTTCTTTATCATTTTTATTAGAATTAATTTTACAATGCTTTTTTTAAGTCCAACTTTAAGTAAAATTGTTAGAAAAGCCTAATTAATATTATAAAACAAGGCTTGATATTAATTATGAATTGGGAATTTTGAATTTATTGGGAAATTTTGAATAGTTTTTTTAAACCTATTGTTTCCTTTGCTTCCCCCTGAACTTAATGAGGAATTTTTAAACCAAGAATCCTCTCCTAACTTTATCAATCTTTGGGATTTGCTAACCTTAATTTTTTTAAAAGACCTTCTTTAATTTGTAAATAAATTTACTAAAGATTCTATTATTAAAATGAACCTTATTCCCATTAAAAAATATTAGTAATCTGATGGGCAATCGACCAGGTAACATATGTATGACGAAGGAGAATCCCCTGAAAGCTCATTCTTATCGACAGCGGCGGCTCAGGGCTATCGGTTTTGTTTGGCAAATCTCATTTAGATTTGCCTTTTTTCCGCCTTCTTTTTTTTGTATTTTGCTGTTGTGTTGAACTTTATTTGCTTGTTTTGGTTTCATTTTTGGGGAAATGGGAATGGGGAATGGTGGGAATGCGAATTCGTTTTTGGTGAGGTGGGTCAGTAATTCTGCTGAATAAATTTTAGGAAGTACTACATGCCCAGTGTAGGATTTTTTTCAGGGCCCTATTTCTCGCTCAGGTCATCGAGCATTATTTATTGCCCCCTTCGAAGGCCGAGCGTTCAATTTTGACTTGCAAATCTCTATGACTGTGTTTTTTTTTGCTTGACTCTCATTTGCGGCTAACAAAAAGAAGCCGAAAAACGAAACTGATTGACATGTTTCAGCCATAAAAACGATTAATAAATAAAATAGCAAAAAATCAATAAAACAAAAAAATCTAAATTCAAGAAAATATAATTTTAATGCTGTGCTTAGCAGTTTTATGGATAGCTGGCTTCTTCAGTTTGTATCGAATTCAGTTAATTGGCCAAAAACCAAAATTGAACTCTTAACTGGGCCAGCCAGCACGCTTTTTGGCTTTGTGAAATTCTAGAAGGGTGAACGAGCATTTATAGAAGAATCTAAATTAAAAATTAAACTAAGAAAAAGTGGTTTTCTTGATGAATGAAAACTCAGCAAAGTTTGTATTTCTTTTTGGTTTTTGATTTATGAATTAGTCATGCTAAATTTGGTTTAAAAAATAAGAAAACTGCTGGTTTAGTGTGGAAAACCCAATTAGTATATAAGCTAAGAAATTTAAAACATTAAAGCCTTGAAATTAAGTTAAATCTTTAAAGTTGTTTATAACAAATTATTTTAAACTAAGAAATAATCTATAAATATAATTAAAAACACTTTATGTAATGCGTTTTCAGGCAAAATGATTGCAATAAATAAACACGCTTGTTTTTCTTCAAAAACATGTTCCGAATACTCGAAATGTTAACAAAGAAAAGCTTTTACTAGTATTATTTCTTATTTCTATAATAAAGTTTAGTGTTAAGGCAGAATTATGTACAATATCCAGAAAAATACAGAAAGATCTCGCCTCTATATATATTGTATATATTTCCAAAATTTTTTTTTTCCTGAACTTTCAAGTATGTGCATACTAAATATATGCGTCTATGTGCAATGTATGTATGTGCAGCGATGACGAAATAAATAAAAAGCTTTTTTTTTTGTGCGCTATTCGCTTCCTGCATTCGAGTTGCTAAAATGCAACGCTGCGTATGAGTGATCTGCTAAGCACAAAATCACAAAATAGCCAACAAAAACAACAAAGTGATAGATAAATATTAATAACAAGTATAATCCATAGATAAAACTTACCATTTCAAGCAAAAGTAATCCAATTGGTGATATATCCATTATGTTTTCAGCAGACCAGCAGCAAAAATAAATTGATTCTCTTATTGTTTTAAGTTTTCTTTGAGTTATTTTCAGATATTTGCACTTATGTTTTGTGTTGTTTTTTGTTGTTGTTGTTGTAAACTTTCAGGCACTTGTTGAGGAAGGGTAGAGGGGTGGTTGGTGGGGGGGTGGGCTTGCCCCGACCAAAAACTCTGTCAAAATTGCACCAAAAATAGTTGGCTTTATTTAATTGACATTTCACAGGGGCATAAAAACACACTCAAACTCCGTTAAAATTTATTTATTATTTTTAGAACTCTTTGTAACGCATTTTGTGGATTTTCATTTATTTATAAATATTTTTTTTTGTTGCACAAAATTATTATTTGCCGGAGCAAATTGTTTAATTAGAGACGCGGCGCGACGCGACGCGACACGACGATGGGCGGTAAAGTGGGCGGGCGTTTGTTGTTTTTTTCGCGACGTTACAGTTACGTTTCGAGAATTGATTTTTTGTTGCAGTTTCTGGCTTGTTTTTGTTGTGTTTGTGAAAAAGCGAAGGTTTTCCTGGCTGGAAACGTCGTCGTCGTCGTCGTTGGGGTGCCAAGAGAATTAAGGGAAATTTGCGACTGAACGTTACAGCAGTCAAAAGACAACTAAACGACGGCGAAACGCTTTATTTTTGCACACAAGCAGCGCGCACTGCACGACTCACCCACACTGACTCACTTCGGGCTCCATGGCAGAGAAACACACGCGCGCGGCCGCTCAAGTTCATGCTCTGAACTTCAAAGCTTCAGCGCGGTTACCTTCATGCACTCTGCGAAAGAGAGCGGCGAACGTGAACGTATGTAGTGGTTGCCGGTGTGTGCGTGGGTTAGAGCGAGGCTAAGAGAGTGCCAGTGCCTGTGGTGATTGCAATTGCAGTTTGAAAAGCTTGCTGTGGAGAGAGCGAAAGAGAGTACTCAGTAGAAGGAACTACAGTTGGGCTTGCTTGAGTGGGATTTTTTAAGAGAATTTTTCATCTCTCGTAAAATCTGTAGAATAATACTTAGCTTTTTTATATTTCAACATAAAATAAAAGAATAAATTTAATAATAAATAAAATAAAGCAAAAATATTAAAAGAGAAAAACAAAAAATTATAAGTTAACGTAAAAGGAGCCAAAATTAAAATAAAACTTTAAAAACTGAGAAAAAAATTAAGAAAAAATAAAACGTTATTCAAAATTATATAAAAAAATCTCCTTTCCCTTTTTAAAAATTTAGTTAGTTTAATTAGTTAAAATCGTTCCTTATTTTATTTGGTTTTATCTTCGTAAACCGGCTATTTATTGAACAAAACAAATGCGTACAAAAGTGTTACTTGAGAGGATATCTTTGTTTCAATCCATTAATATATATAAAATATACAAAGCGTGCCCGAAAAGTTCAACAAAAGATGGAGAATGGAAACCTGAGAGCTGGCAGCTCGTTGCCTATGTGGTCTTCAGCGAAGTGGGAATCTTTGGCAAGCCAAATTCATCCGTTTCAATGGTGCTCTGCAAATATTTTTTGGTTTTCTTATATGTTTCTACATAGAGTTCTCCTCCCTTCTTATAGGTAAACTTACCTTGCCAGGCACAATGCTATCGGCTCCAGGCTCTCGGCTTGGGGCTTCCGGAGCCTTGACAACGTCATCCAAATAGCTGGTGTCATCGTCCAGGGCTATCTCATCGCCCAGGGCATCCAACTCGGCCTGCAGGTCATCGTCATCTACCTCGGGCATGCCATAAGTGCGACCCAGAGCCTCCTGCACCTCGTCCGCTTGCTCAAACATATCGGCCATGTCGTCTTGGATGTCCTGTTAAGGGGAAATGGTAATTAAAATGTGATTAAATATGTAAAAGTTTCCTAAATTAAACATTTTTTATATTGAAAAACGTTTGTGTATAATATATACCTCGATTTGATCAATATTGATCTTTTTGTATTCGGTCTTCATCTGCTTGACTCCATCCTTCATGGCGGCCACAGTGGCCTGAGTATCCTTGAGGGATTGGGCGGCATAGTTGGCCTGTTCCATGTTAAACGACTGATTGCGCAGAGATTCCGCCTGCTGTTCGTAGCTATAAAAGCAAAGGAGAATATAATATATGTGTATGTTTCAATATATTTAAGAAAATCCATAATTTTATAGGTAAAATTCGAGAAATATCAAGTTAATTGACCAAAAAATAACAAAACAAAGTCCGAAAATCCAATAATAAGTAAAGGGGAATCCCTATTATTAAGATGTTTCCCCTCAAATAACAAATATACGAGGGCGTGGCCCCAAAACACTTACGCCTTCTTTTGTTTCAGCACCCGCAACGCCTTCTGTTTCACGGAGTTCTTGGCGGGTCCTTCGCGCATTTTGGACATTTGTTCGCGGTATTTGCGCAGCTCCGTTTCCAGCTTATTGATCTTTTCCTCAATGTTTGTGGCACGGGCATCTACCTATTAACGATTTTGGGTAATAAGAATCTATAATTTATTGTTTTCATTGCAAGATTTCCCTGGCTTACCCCGGCTATGCAATCGTTTAGGCTTGGGCCCGGCTCTTTGGGCTTGCCGCGACCGAAAAGGCGATTCATTTTGATTGGATTTTGCTTTTAAAACTTTAAATTTACACAGAAACAAGAGTTTCCCAGTTAATTTCGTTTTAAGAATTTGTTTGATGACTAATTTTCTGCTTCTTCCATCCACTGACATCAGCTGTTTTGGGAAAGTGTTTTGCAACACTGTTTTTGGTATATTTTTAATTAATCGATAGTATCGATAGTTTTGTCAGCTGTGGATTTTTTAGGAGGAAATTTCTACCTTTTGAGATTTCTTAGGGCTGTCTTACGGTCACACCATTCGCAAATAAAAAACAAAACGGGCGGTTAAACGCGAGCTCCGCAGCTTAACTAAGTTAATTCCGTTTAATTAACTGTTTGGCAGGCTAAATAATTGTTCAAAGCGAGTGAGCCGTGAGTGTTTTGATTGTAAAATGCGTCACGCGAAGAGATGAAAGCGAAAGCAGCCAGCCAGGGCTTGCGGATTTGTTCCACCTCTTTTTGAGTGCTAAAAATACACCAAAAACAATCACAGCAACAAACAACTTTGCCAAGTATTAGCAAACAAAACTGCGTAAATACGTTGGATAATTAAAACAATAGAAAAGAAAGCAGCAAACACAGCGAAAATTCAATAAACCAGAAGCAGTGGCAGCTGCAGCTGGCCCTTTGACGTCACGGCCAATCAGCTGTTCGGCCCGAGGAGCACCCCCCAAAACGCCATGACGTGCAAATAGCCACCTTTAACCTTTAGCCCACACACACACACGCTCCTGAGTATTTCCTCCATGGATAGTGCCATGTATTACGCCAAGGAGCGCCTGGCGGCGGCCATGAACTCCAGTTCCTCCATCACCTCCCCCGCCGCCGCCAATGGCACTGCATCGCCACGCGCCGATGATGGCGGCGTCTCCATGAACAACTTCTATCCAGCGCTGGTCCAGTGCTTTGGCATTATCATTTGCGGGTTGGTATTTTAGCCATTAAGCCCACGTTTCCATGCACGATTGGGTTACTTATCGATTTTGCACATATGTTGGGTGGGTTTTTTCACCCCTTGAATGCCATTTAATGGAGGTGGGTCAGGGGTTGCAAAAATTTCATCAGAATTTTGTTTGATTTTCTGGGAAAGTTATAGATTTTAGAAATTATAGTTAGATCTTTCCAGTACAATCCAGTTTCAAAGAAATCTTTGGCAGCTCATTAAAAACTTTATGACAATTTTTAAGGGGCCCATAAAATCTAATAAATTGCTGCCTGGCACATTTATTGGTTTTAGTTCAGAAACCTTGAACCCTAAACTTTAATTTTAAAGAAAAGAAAAAATTATAAAAAAGACAAGATAAAACTTAACTTTAGAGTCATTAATAATTCAAAGTATTTGCACAAATTCATCATCTCTTTTTATGCCTTAATGTATATTTTTCCATTATATTAACTAAAATCTATTGGTTTTTGTGTAGTTTTTACCTGTTTATTATAATTTATATCAGGTGAAAAAGACACATTTTTTGTCGTTGATTTATTGTATTTATTAAGTAAAATGGTATCAGGCAAAATTTCTTACGGAAGCTGTTTACTCTATATCTTTATAGGAGGGAGGTATATTTACTTTTTAATTTATCACCTAAACTTTCCATATGGTAAATTATTTTCTTCAATCAACCACTGTAATTTTTAATGACAAATAATAGTGATTTTGGGGATCTACAATAAGGAACAAATTGTTCAAAATGATATAATGCCTTGAATATGGTTTATTTTACAAGAGTTCCCTAAAAGATCTGTTCTTAAATTCAACTAAAATCTATAGATAAATAAAATAAAATCATATTTCCCTTAGAAATCAATCCCAACTCAACTGTCATATTAACAAACTGATAGTTACAGCAATATATATAATATAATATGATAATAATATATAATTTCAATATTGGCACATCCCAAGCGGGTCCAAACTCTGACTGTCATTGTTCCACCTTATCTACTATCATTAGTTCCCAGTGGGTGCAGACGACGTGCGTCCCAGGAAAGTGGTTTGACTGCCCTAAGCACTTGTTCGAACAGTGACCAGCACTCATTTCAATTTCTCTGATTTATTTCTTCAGCCACACGTATCGATTGACACTCGAATTTTATAATCTCTCCAACAAACTGCTGTCTCACTGTCTGTGCGTACTCCAATTGCTTTTTTCAAACACAAAACACTGAACAATTATCTTTAATCAGTTAAATTACTTTTTTTGGGGTTATTTTTAGAAGGCAATTTATGGCGAATCTGAGATTTATTTGGGTTAAATTTTGCGTGTCAGCAAGGGGAAAATGAGGGATTTTAAAGGGAAATCTATAAGAGAAAGTATATCCAATATTTATATAAATTTCTTTAAAACTTGTAATATTAATATTAAATATAAATATATATATTTAATTCCTTAAAATCAGCAAGAATGTTTATTTGGTTGTTTTTAACTTTATTGCCTCGTTTGTTGTTTAATTAAAGCTGCATTTCTTTGTGTAATTGCGGATGCAAAATGTTATGCTAAATTTGTGACGAAGTTTTAAAAAGGTTTCATTTACATAAATTACAAAATTTCCAATTAGTCATGGAAATCGTTACCTGATATATTGATTGATTACTCAGCCGCAAAGAATCTGAACTCACAAACCTTTTGTTACAGGCTATAAAATTGGGAATTCCTAGGTTTTCCCTTGGGTTTTTAACACTTTTCCAAGGTTTTCTTGGCTCTCAAAAGCAACTACAATTAATAGAGTTTTTAAAAATGTAGCAACAGCAATTATATTTAATAGAGATTTTACAAAAACTGAACTAATTCCTGGGAAATTGCCCTGAAGCCCCAATTAATTTTTTTTAAATAGAAACAACTAAAAAAAACAACCTAATAATTTAACCACAATCTCTAACTTTAAGAGCAACAGCCATATGTAAATTTCCTGGCTTCCCTAACAATCTTGATGTATGCATCTAAGCCGAAACTTAATTGCCAACTGGGCAATAATCGAAAGTAAAAACGTAAAAACGTTTAGAGAGTGCGAGAAAACGAGAGAAAAAATATATATGTATAAAACCGTATAGAAAATCAACAAAACAATTACAAAAGTGACCTTGCACCAAACAGTGTTTAGCATTTAAAGCCTGTAAAAACAACAATAACAAGCCACTCCACCTGAGGCAATATTTGCTCTGTACTTATATTTGCGGATTATGTAATCGCAATTACCGATTTGTCTACCGATCACCGCCAATTACTGGGGGTCCGATATGCATGCCAAAAGTTGAAAACAAACAAAAGATGCACCTACGCCGCCTGCCAACCTGACAACTGTTCAATCAAATATATAATATAATAATAATAACAGCTTGAATATAATACAAAGCCGGCTGCATTTAAATGTATTACTTAACAGTTCTCGCGACCCGTTCGTTGGCATCTGACTTTTACAATTGATGGGATTAAGTGTAGGTCTCGACTTGGAAAATACCCTTTACTTGGAGATTATTATTTAATTTAAGGTTTATTTGGTTGATGATTAAAATAAATCTTTAATTATAAATATGCAAAGCTTAAAACATGAAGAAAACAACAAATTTTTTATTAAGTTTATAAAAATATTTTTAAAAAAACATCATTATATTTTTTTTTTTTTAATTAGAAAACATAAAACCATTAACTTTGCCATATTATAGATTAATTTTATCGATGCTTCCCGGACATATTTAGTATAAGTATTCATTTTCTGACTAAATTCAGCCTTTAGGATGGTCACCTCCAACTTAACACTTGAGAATTCTAAGCCTAAAGCTGTAAATAGCTTGATGCTGTGGGTGTTTTTGTGCGATTTAGTTCGTTTTAAAGACTTAAAATCATTAAAAAACCTAAAGCTGGCTTTATAAAGGTTTCTTTCAGATTTAGTTAAAAAATTTCCCATAATTAGGATTACGTTAATCTTTACATGTAATTTATCCTGATTTTAAAACTTAAAATAAACGTGTTTTTTGAATAATTTTCTTTATATATGCTTATATATCTCACACTTTAAATCATAATAATCAAATGACAGTTCCTTTTAATTGTTTACTACAATTATAATTAATAAATCAACAATTACTTCACATATTATTACAGAACACCCCATCTAAATATAAATATAAATTCCTCCCACTATTTAATTATAGGGTAACAAACACAATAAAGATGCACATCAATTCCAGTTTTAAGTGTTGCTCGTAACGCAATTAAATTCAGCTTTACGATTTGTTATCAGATTGAAATTTTATTTAATCGCTTTATTTAAGTGATGAATATTTGTTGTGTTGTTGGTTTTTCTCTGTGTTTAAATTTGATCGACTTGCTGTAGACATTTTAGGACGGGAATACAAACTGATAAGAGCTTATAAATAGTAATAATAAATGCATGTGTAAAGGTAAACAATTCTAATCTAGAAGCTGACAGCTGTTTCTTTGTCTTTGGGAAAATGTAAATAATTTTAATTAATTTACTTTACATAGTTTTATTATTTCTGTCATTTGAGATTTCTCTTTGCACTTGAAAGAACATAAATACATAAATAATATATCTACAAGTCATAGTTTTTTACTTTGCTCTACTGACTAATTTTTTTGTTTTTGTTTTTACTCTTGACTGACTTTCTAGAACACTTGTTTTTTTTTGCTACACAGACAAAATGGGTAAATAAGGAAATATTTGTGTTGACTTTTTGAGTAACTTTAGCTTTTGTTTGTAAGAGGTCTCAGGGCTTAAGTAGAGAAAAACAGCTGTGAAAACTGAAAAGTTGAAGGAAATTATAGGCCATAAATTATGTTTATTCATTTAAACTTAATATTAATGTATTTAAAGTCATTTAAAATTAATTTTTATATATGTTAACTGAAGCTAAAAGGTCTCCAAAAACAGCTTTTAATTTATTTAAAGGCTTATCAATTTTAATTAGGCATTTATTACAATTTAAAGCTATAAATAAAATTAAAAAGTTTGTTCTTTATTTATTTATAAGGTATTTTAATGCTCCATCTTTAACTTTTATATGTTTTCTAAAGTTAAAAATTCTCCTATTTTATTTTTAAATGCTAACAAATTTTAATTAGGTAATTACCACAATTAAGAGATATAAATGTAATATAAAAGATTGTTCTTTATTTTCTTTATAGGGTATTTTAAGGCTCCATCTTTGCTTTAACTTCATCTCTAAGGGTAGACCCTCCTCTCCCTTATCAGTTATGTCTTGTAACCTCTTTAAGAACCCATTGCTTTTACACACTATAACTTTGCAAACATAGATAATGTTCACAAGTGTCTCGCATTCCTAAGAAAGAGCTTTTGCTCAGCAAATATCTTTATATGTATATATTTTTCCTGGAACTCCAAAGATGAACTTAAACAATACATGACCCGCACATCTTCCCGAGATAACAGAGATAAGAAATAAGAGATTTTTTTACCAGGTACTTCCCTACAATAAAATCGTAAACATCAGGCATAAATCCCGCTCGTAAATGCAATAAATCGGTTTGAGTCATACGGAAAGGTCGCTCAACTAGGGGGAAGTACACCCTACTCCAGATTACCAGCAGACAAATCGACAGACAGCTTGAAATACATTTATATTAAGTTGTTGCGACGAGAAACAAGTGTGACTGAAATACAAATAAAACTCACACGAAAAAAACATAAAAAACGTTTACAAATTGAGGTGTTGTATTGGCCAAGTGAGAGATCGAAATGAAACTGGTTTAACAGGGGATCACGTGCAGGTCTTATTTACAATATGCATAATACACCAATTAAGAGTTTCCGGCTTTGTTTGCACTTAAAATAAATGTAGAGGGGGCGTGACCAGGGCGAGACACGCCTTAACAACCTGATTACTCGAGTAATTTTCTCCTTATTTTGTCACTTTTTAATTGCAGTTACATTGCCGGCCGCTTCAAGATCATCAGCAATGCGGAAACCAAGGGACTGGGCACCTTTGTGGGCACCTTTGCCTTGCCCTCGTTGATCTTCCTGTCGCTGGTGGAGCTCAACTGGAGTGCCGTCAACTGGAGTTTCCTTCTGGCCATGCTGGTGTCCAAGGCAGTGGTGTTTTTCTCGGTTTTGATTATATCCCTGCTGGTGGCCAGGCCTTTGAACTATGCCAGGGGAGGATTAATGGCTATATTTTGTACTCAGAGCAATGATTTTGCTATAGGTTATCCTATAGGTGAGTTGAAGAGGGGTTTAAAATAGCAGAGAGCCTTTTAAAGGTATTCATTTTAACCTAAATTTATAAATTACCATTAATTATTTTAATTTTTTAAATTATTTAAAACTTAATTCTTCAATTTACTTAAAATACCACAGAGCTAATTAATGTTATTAATTTTAACCTAAATTTATAAATTAATTTTAATTATTTTAGTTTTTTTAATTAACTAAAACTTAATTCTTCAATTTACTTAAAATACCACAGAGCTAATTAAAGTTATTAATTTTAACTTAAAATTTATAAATTACCATTAATTATTTTAATTTTTTAAATTAATTAAAATCTAATTCTTCAATTTACTTCCAGTCATGGCTCTCTACAAGGATGTCCACCCTGAATATGCCTCTTATCTGTACCTAATGGCTCCCATTTCGCTGGCCATACTGAATCCCATAGGTCTAGTGCTCATGGAGATCTCCAAGATTGTCAAGAACAAGGAGGAAGTGGTAGGTTTAGGATTATAAATATTCTAACTTGTTTAATATCCAATTTCTTATCCGTTTCAGACCCGCAATCCTCCTCTCTGTCCGGAAACCTGTCCCGCCGAGCAAATGGCCAAACGCAATCGCTGTCTGGGCGAACGTTCTATCTTAGTTTTCAACACCATTGTGGCCTTGTTCTTCAATCCTCTGCTGCTCATGACCCTGCTGGGCGTAGCTGGTGGCTTCCTCTTTCCCCATGGTTTGCCCGAAATGGTCTCCAGCACTCTAAGAACCCTGGGACAAAGTTTCTCCGCCACTGCCTTGTTTTTGCTAGGCCTAAAAATTGTGGGAGGAACGGGTTCCGAGCGCAAAAGCACTGGTTTTCTATTGCCTGGTGTTCTTATATTGGTTAAAATGTGAGTTTCTGATATACAAATTTTGTTTTATTTTGCGATTCCAATGAGCGAGCACTTTCCCTTGACAGACTGGTGCTTCCGCTGGTCATCCGTCAGACGGTTAACATTATGCAGTCTGGCCAGAACTTCAATGACACTACAGAGCTGAGCACCTTTGGCTTTCTCTATGGCACCTTTCCAGCTGCCCCCGGGGCCTTTGTGATTGCCACGCAGTACAACATGGAGGTGGAATTGGTAAGTGGACTGGCATGAAAGTCAAATTTGATTACTGATTTGTATAACATATTCTCTACCTTTTCTTTAGGTTGCTCGCAGCATGGTTTTTTGTACATTCATCTCGGCTCCATTGATGTTTATCTCAGCAAAAATGATCTCGCTGACGAATCTAAAGCCTTTGGATTATCTGCATGAGCTGGATGCCTTTTCTTTTGACATTAGTGTGGCTGGAGCGGCTGCTTGTTGTTGTATGTTGGCTTTGTTGATTGTTACCAAAAGATTTAAGCGTATGCCGCAGAGGATCACGTTTTGTTTGGTGCTGTCGCAGGTTGGAGATTGGGAAAGATCTTTTGATTTATTTTATATTAATTATGTATATTTTCTAACCCCCAGCTCATGTGCTGCATAGGCGTTATACTGTGGTCCAAGATGGAGCATGTCCATCGCTGGCCCTTGTATTTGCAGTTTTTCCTCTTCAATATAGGCACTTATAGCACTCGCCTTTGGACGGGTTTGTTGGCCATATCCCTGCTTTTCCTGCAGTGTCGCAGCTTGTGTTTTGTTTTAAAACTTTGGCCTTATATGGTAAGTATTTGTTTTTTTATATTTAAAAGTTGTTTCTTGATAAAATCTTTCTTTTTTCGTTTTAGTTGGTGTTTGCTTGGGGTGTGCCTGCCTTGATTTCGGGTCTTTTGGTGGCCTTTGATTCAAATGTGATGTCGGGTGAAAAGCATAATCCCAGTTTTCAGTATGGCAATGCCCAGGCTGCCATTTCGGTGTTTATGCTAGTCATGTGCTTTATAGGTGGGTAGCTTAAATTCCATTTAAATTTGTTTTTAAACCTAAAAATATGATGAAAAACTAAATGCATTTGAAGAGTTAATTAAAGACTAAAAAAATACCTTTTTTAAGAGTTGTTTTACACTTTATTTGAGGTCATTTTGAGGTCTTAAAATGATGCTTGTGAAGTTTTCAATCTGATTTTATATGTATTTAATTAATTAACTATATTTTAACTTAATAATTTCTTAACTAATCTTAATCATTTCCTTTTTTAATTCTAGTCACCGTAGGCTGTTTGGTTTTGCATCAACGTTATAAGAAACGCTATGAAAAATACATGACCTATGCACGTGAGTTGTCCAATCCGGAGTCGGGTAGGTTTTACTTATAAAAAATTATAATTAAATAAATAAAACTAATATTTAAAATAATTTTTAAAGAATCTTCTGATTTGCACTCCACTATATCCACCACCAATTTGCTGAGTCAAACGGATCATGCCTCTATACGTCAAAGTGTGCGAACTAACTCTTATTCCTCTTCTTCGGATGATGAGGAAATGATACCCACAGCAGCGGGTTTGCCAAGGAGCAGAAATAGTGCAGGTGCAGGATCTGGAGGAAGTGGAGGTGGTGGTGGAGGTTGTGGTTCAGGCAATGGCGCTTGCTGCTCGGGTGGAGCTTCAGTGACTACGCCTTCTACAACCAGCACTGTGGTTGTAGACATTGAAGATCTTTTAAACCGAACACGTCAGCGGGCCACTAAGGATCTAGACAAAATAGAGGCGGCACCGCAAAGAGAAGAGTGAGTTGTGGTTTTAAGCAAATATTGAATAAATATATATTTAATATAAATCTTAAAAATCTTCCACAGAATTCGAAATCAAATGTGCAGCAGCTCTTTTAATTGCGGACCCAGTACCTCACGTCAAAGCTGTCAGACCATTATAGAACGCTATGAAGATCAGAATCGACGGGGTCTGGAGCCCTTGGAGCACACTAGCGACACAGATGAGCATCAGACCCTGAAGCATACTGTTTTGCTAATCATTCTACTCTGCTCCATGTTTGTGGGCCTGGCTGTGTCCATTTGGACCTTGGTCATGGAGGGCATGTCGGGCATTTATTTGGAGTTGAGTTTCCTCGATGCCTTTCTCAACTTTGGTCAGGGTTTGATTGTGTTGGCTGTGTTTATAACCGACATGGGTGAGCTGCTGATGCCTGTGGTTAAAATATGGCGCAAGTTGTGGTGAGTTTGTATATTTTTTTAATATTTAATATATTTTTATATTATTAATTCATATTTTTTAATGAAAGGTATGGCGCCAATGTGGTAAGTCTACCCCATTGGTCAAATGTCCGGCCGGAAACCAAGCATATTTGCGAACAATTCCGCAATCATCATTTGGAAAACTGCAAGAAGGACATAGCCAAGGACAGAAGGTGGGTTTGGTGGCTTGATTTTTTAGCTTAGAGATAATATCCCTTTTAGAAAGTGATTTTTAGTTAAGTTTTTCTTTAAAAAAATACTCCTCTTTGCCTTAGAACCTTAAGCGGCTTTAGGAATAATCATAATTAATGATGTTTTGTTAAGTTAAGTGAGTATGGCAAGTGATTTTGTATACGCTTGTAGGGTATTATTTTTTTAGTCAAAAGCTTGCAAAGCAGTGAAGGAGTCATTTCCGACCCCATAAATCATATATATTCTTGATCAGCATTAACAGGCGAATCTTTCTGGCCCTATAGGAGAGAAAACCATTTTTTGTTGAATTTTTCAAACTTTTATAAGGGGTTACATCATTAAAATTCTTAAAAATTGGCAAAAATTTTGATTTCTTAAAATTTTAAATTCGTTAGGCAGATTTGTTAACCTAGAAAAAACTAGCATAGAAAAGTTTTCCGAATTGAATTTAATACTTTTTTGGCTTAGTTATAACATTTTATAGCTTTGATTTGTCAGTTTTTGCTTAATTTTTTTTTTTTTTAATTTAGGTGGTGGTGACCTTTGCAATTTATTCACCATTTTCAAATTAAGCTTGAGTTAGTCTTTAGTTTAATTTTAAAAATAAATAAATAATATATACTAAAATATCTATAAATCATTTGCAGGTGGCGCATCCGTGTGTATCGCAAGGTATTCTATGGCAGCGAGTTCGTCAGCTGGTTGATCGAGGTGGGCCTGTCCAAGGATCGCATGGAGGCTGTTCATTATGCCCGACATCTGGTCGATGGACGGGTGCTGCGGCACATCAACAATGTGTATCATTTCGAGGACAAGCTGCTGCTATACAATTTCTGCAGTCGCATCTAGATGAAGCAACAAAGATGAAGCAACTACGCCAAATTTAGTTTGAATCGATTTCCTGTTTAGTTTATCCCCCTGTACTATATCTCTTTGTATGTAATTTGTTTTTGACTGCTGTGATTACACACACATTACAGCCAAATGTGTGTGAGTGAGCGAATGTGTGGGAGCGATGAGAATGAGCTAGTGAATTTTTTTGTTTATAATATTGTCCAAGTAAATTTGCTTGGTTTATATTTTTTAAATGTTTATTACTAAGAGTAGTTGACTCAGCCAACAGCTTGAGCTTTTATATATAGTGCAATAAATATATATATAGAAATAGTGAAAGAAAGTTTCCTACATTTTGTGTCACAATTTAAAAAATATATAGAAAACTGTGCATAAAACGCTATAAACGAATACAACTATATATGTATACAAAACATTCATGAATAAAAATATATACATATATACAAGCTTATATACCTCAGAACAGAAACATTAACCATGCATTTGTGTCGTTTATTTCAATTTTAGACTTCATTTGCATTTGTTTTTCTTTCGTGGAATCTTTCTTTCTAGTTTTTTACCCTTTGGACTTCCACGCGTCGCGGCATTCGTCTGCGTGTTTGAAATAATAATAGCCCTTAATTTCGGACACCCGGCAAAAAAACTCTACTATTAATTGTTCTGCCGCCTTTTAATATTCTGTTCAACGATGCTTATAGATATTTTGTTTTGTTTTTGGTATGCGCCTGTCTCCCATAAAAACATTCTCGGCGGAGACCGGGTATCATCCATGATCCATTCAATTGAAGTTCTTGCTTGTTATGCAAAATTCAAGGCATTGCAAAATGCACTCACTGTGACACGTCAACACTGTCCACAAAAAGTCTGGACTCAAGGCAACTTGTACGTCAAATTTTATTGAATGGCATTTTTAATAACTTAATCTTGGGCTTAAGTTCCTGCTGTTCTTCTAATGGATTATGAAAGCGTGGGAAATATCAGGGACAGTCACAAGGTCTTTATAATTCCATTTCCCAAACGTCCCTGAATTCTAATAATAATTCTAATAATACCAATAGCAAAAACTGTGTCATCAACGGACCACTGGCCTTGGGTAGAAGCTAGACCCTTGATACCCTTGATAAAGCAATTAATATGGGTAGATTGGGAGAGGATATGCTCTTTTAAGTCTAAAATATTTAAAGATTATTTAATTTATTAATTAAAAATATTACTTATATAATAATTTATATTTTTTCTTACCTTTCTGACCTTCTTTTGGGTTAATTTATTTCTTAAATAAATAAAATTAAAATCTATAATTGCTAAAATACCCTCTACAAAGAGTATTAATGTTTCCAATCCTTATATAAACAACTTACAAGGAATAGTGTGTGAGTCACTAGCTTTCACACCCTTATCTTTATTGACAGCTTAAACAAGATACTGCAGTTTCGGAGGGAAAAACTGAGGCACGTGAAACTGAGGTACGGAAGACACTTACAAACTGATTTGTCAGATTAGATATATATGTACATCCGACACATCCAAAACAACGATATGGCCAGTTGGAAAACTCTGTCATGACCTCATGCTTGCACCCACCAGTTGGCCATAATCCTGGCCCCATTAATCAGCCGCTTTATGTCTGGACAAGTGCGGCGTGAAAATGAGTGCAAATAGTGCGTTATTATTTATTCATTTAATTTTGCAAAGAAAGAAATCTCCTGGGGGAAAGAAGTCAGAGGTCAGTCAACCCTAGAGTTTCCACCAAAAAAAAGAAGGAAAAATACAATTCTTATTTGTCGCAACTGTAGCCATTCACCCCCACGCAGCAGAAGGACGAGAAATATATGGGCTGCTGTCAACGTTGTTTTTTGGGGCATCCAATTTCAGGCCGACACAATTAATAGACACCAAAAACAAATTCTGTTAAAGGATAACAAGGATGTCGAGAGGGAATTAGAGGTAACCAGAAAGTGCTACTAAAATTAGATAGATTTTAGAGGAATTAGTTAGGAAAATGTTATAAAATAAATATGTATTAGGGGGAGAATTATATTAAAATAATATGATTTTGGTGAAACTAAAGTATATTTATTTTAAATTATTTTTTTTAATTTTCTAAATTTGTATTTTTTTATATATTATTATTATTTTTTGTTTTTTAAATTAGGAATAATGTTTTTTATTTTAATTTAGAATTAAAGAATAATTCATACAGGTTTTGGCTAATATTTTAGATACTTTACATGAATAATTCTATAAAGAAAAATTTCCTATATTGAAAAATAAATACTTGATCATAAAAAAATAAAAATAGCAATAAAATTGCCTTTAAAAATTAAAAAAAAAAACAATAAACGAAATATAAATATTAAATTTATACTAATAAAGATTCTAATTTATTATAATTCCTTGAAATATTCTTCTGATTTTATATAATTTCAAAAAAATAGGTAATATTTCCAGGCTCTAAAACTCGAATTTATCCTTCTTAAAAACCATTCCAAAAATTAACCATCTATCCTTAAAAATAAGTAATATTTCCAGGCTCTAAAACTCGAATTTATTCTTCGTGAAATCCCCTAAAAAAAATTACCCATCTATCCTTAAAAAGGACAAAAGAACATCACTCCTCCAAAGGGACACTCAATTCTGTTCTGGAAACATTCCACATTTTGTGTTTATTTGTTGCCTTTCGGCTGAATTAACTAAAAATAGTCTCAACCGCATGACGTCTGTGAGGAAGCCGGCGGGATGAAGAGGGAGGTGCTGCTGCTGGGATGATGAGATACTTCATCCTTAATTTCAACACACAGCACCGCCTAGCCGCAGGCTCGTTAATTTCATCCCATTGGCAGATGTGGCATTTAATTTCAAGTCGCTCATACGCCCCGTTGTCGCCACAACAAAGACCAAACCGAAAATGGATGGCCGGCTTCCGTTTTTGCCTTGGCAGGAATCAATAATTTCCCATTTAAAATGCAAGTATGCGAGGCTTTCATCTTCGTACTTAATTAATTTCTCAGTTATTTTACAATATAATCTTTAAACGAATCATTAATATGATTTTCCCTGCTATAATCTTTTTTTTTCTCTTTTGAAGAATTAGCTTTGGAAATGTTTATTGAAATTACTATTCGGTAATCAGCCGTCAAATTTCAAAAAGGAACAAAAAATTGCAATTCAATTTCAATTGTTAATTTTGGCCAGAACGCCAGAAAGCTCAATGAAAAGGTTTTGAGAAATAAAATCAAAGGAATAAGAAAACAGAAATGCTCTTTCTTTCTGTAATATATATTTTTTTTATAAAATTTTTAATTATTTATAAAAGGCTTTCTTTTAAAATATTAAAAAAAATTATAAAACTAATTTTATTTAATCCTAAATTTATGTAACTTTTTACACGAATATATTATACATTAAACTCTGATAATAAATATATTTAAAAGTTCCTACCGCAAGTTTATTTTATAAAAACAGAGTGACTAAGTTCTTAGTTTTTTATTCTGATAACAAGATATATTCCATTGCTCTCAGAATGATTCATTGAACTAACTTATATTTATATTCTTGGTAAAACTAACATATTTATCACAATCTCTTCTGAATATAAAATATTGTAAGGAATTTAATAAGGAGGCAAGAATAATGTTTTAGTGACTCTCACAATTAAAAGAATTATTTTTTATTAAGAACTAATTTAACTCTGTATTTTCCAGAAAGTTTAATCAATATTTTTCCAGAAATTTTAAACAATCTTTTCCATGTAACTCTAATTTTTAAAAATTTGAAACAATTTTTTCCTGGATTTTTATATATTTTTTTTTTTAAGTTTTAAAGTTCAGATATGTTAAACAATATTTTTATGTTATTTATATTTCTTTACAAAAAAGGTATTCTAATAATAAAAAAAAATAATTTAAAAAAAATGATTATTTTCTTAATTAATTATATAGAAATCTGTTTAAATTTTATATTCCCAAATATTTTAAGAGTATAAAAACAATAAAATGTGTCTTGCCCTGCCGAAAGTTCGGACACACGTTCACCGGCACTGGCACGAGCTGTGCATTTTCGATGGGGTGGTGGTGGCTCACGGGGTGCTCGTGTGCGGAACAGGGGTATATATACATACAAAGAAACATACATATATACGTAAATATATGCCATATCCGACCACCTACAGCGAAGAAGCACCCGAAGCCGCACGCACGAGCCGTTGCCTTTCGATCCCAGAGCCGAGCCCCGCGAGTGGCCAACTGTTGAGCGGCGGCGGCCAAGGAGCCAAACCAACCCCACCACCCCCACTTCTATATAGAGCTTATATAGCTTGGAGCTATCGGCGAGCAGCAGCAGCAGCAGCGGCGGCAGTAGCAGCAGCCAACGCCAAACTAACAACACTCATTCTAAATCGACGCCTGGCTGACTGCAGACGGGCTCCTCGCACTCGAATCGTATCCATATATATCGCATCGGTCGGTTAATCCAGTGTCGAGCACCGCTCTAATCATTAATTAAGTGTCTTATAGTGTCTTGGGGAAAATAGTAAACGCAACCGAAACGAGTTTCCAGCTGCCAGTCAATATGTTGTGGTCTCTGCAGCAGGCTCATTTGTGAAAAATAAAAAATAGAGAAAAACTAAACCAGAGATACATTTTCACCTGCCACTGACTGGCAATCAAGTGTAATTATCATGGAAGCCTCTACCACACCTGTGCTGGACCTGCTGCTGCGGCCACAGAATGGCACATCCTCCACTGTCACCAAGGCTCTCTATGCAAATCGGAATCGTTTGATCTTCAGCACCATTGTCATGGGTCTGGGGGTGATTGGTAATTCGCTGGCTCTGATTATTTTGGCGCGCAAAAAGCACAACAAAAACAGCAAATATACGCTCATGTTGCGGTAAGTTTAACTATACAGGGGAAAAAATAATTAAAAAGTATTAAAATACAAAGTTTAAAGGAGATTTTTGATAGTTAAGAGATTATAGGGTTATGACACTGCTTTTTAAGGTACTTAAAAGTGTGACCAAATTAAGAAAATAACTAAGAATTTCACAATTTTGATAGCCCCCAATTTATAGGATTATGGAACTGTTTTGTACATATTTTAAATAGTCAAGCAATATGAACATTTTCCCTAACATATAGAAAATCTTAATAAATCTTGTGTCATATTTTGCAACTTAATTTTCCTGTTTTCATACCTTGCTTAAATCTTAATATGTTAAATCGAAAACAAACAAATATAAACAAACCATAATCAATATTTAAACTATGTAAATAGCAAGTTTATTATTTGTTTTTCAATTGCATTTTCCAGTTTAAACAGAAAATATGGCAAAATGTCAAAGTATAATTACTATAAACAGTCAAGTTTTTTAACTAAATAAAAATTACTATTTAAAGTCTAAAAGTCCAAAAATAGCTATGACTAAATACAAATAATTGTCTAAAAAATTACCAAGAAGTTGGAAGAATTTCCTTAGAACTTATAATTGGTTTTTCAAATATAAAAAGTGTTATTTTATTCGAACTTTGCTGTATTATTCAAATAACGAAAATGGCAAGAAAATGTTACAATTTTCAAATATTTTTTTTTAAAACAGAAAATCTATAAAATATTATAAAACAAGAATGTATAAAATAAATATAAAATACAAGTTTCTTTACAAAATATTTCATTATTTTAAAACTCTTATTAATACAGTTTCATTTCTTTAATTAAATTATTTTAACAATCTTTATTTATCAAAGTCTACTACATTTTAATCTCCCGTGTAATATTTCCCATATTTTTTTTTTTAGTGTAAAGCTAGCTACTCATTTTATGCACTTAATGTTTGTGACTGTTTGCGGCCAGTTCATGGCTACGTAAGTTTGTTCAACTCCCAACGGCGGCCAGTCTAAAGAGTTCGATTGATTATATATGTTATATGCCTATGCGGCACCGATTTGCATAGTTTGAATTGTTTGGTTTGGTTTTCTTTTGCGTATCTTATCAGTGTTGGAATTATTTTCATTTATTATGTGTTTCCCATGTGGCTTAACTGACTGATTTTGGCCATATTCATGTCTGTTTTGACCAAGTCTTATCGTTAGTTTGGGAAGGCAACCAATGCAAGTGCACTAAAAGCTTAACTGTGTAACTAAAGACAGGAGATTGGTGGTAGAAAAAAGTGATAAATGTATATTTTTTTGAGGAATTACACTCACAAGTTGGAGGGGAAGTCTTGTTAAATATATTTAACGTTTTTAATTTATATAAAGTTGGTAGTTTTTCTTATAGAAATTGAGATAATTGTAAGAAATACAAAAGAATCTTTCATGAAATATTAGAAAAATATATAATAACGTTATACTATTTTATGAAAAATATTTTTTTAGAATTTGTTTAAATAAAAAGATAAATTGGGAAAAAATAAACCTTTTAACTTTTATTTTATTTAATTGTTCTGATGCTCAAAATGTGAAAACTCTCTTTTTTTTTGTAATAAAAGATTAATAATTAGGAAAATATTGTTTAAAATATATTTAGACTAATTTAAATCATTTTAAATATATTCTTTAGATCACAAAGATTTTCTGCCATATAAAATCCATAATATTTATCCCCAAGTATTTACCCAGAATATTTATCACAATTTATTTGTCATTTATCAGCATAAAATTCCCATAACACCCGATTCACTGAGCATAACTCCAATTTGTGGCCTTTATTTTTTGCTGAGACACCACTGCGTATGCGTAATATGCGTAAATTGCCATCGACAGCAGAAATTTTGAGGCATCAAGGGAGTCAGAAAGAAATTAAACCAAATGCCACTCGGAACGTGATGCCTCCTTCTTTTGGCACTCAAGAGTGAGAGAATGCACAAAGCCCTTTGATCTGTAATTTGATTGATTGAACGAGCCCGGTGATTGGCACTCAATAAATCAGGGCAACATCCCAATGACATCACACCCGCTTTCCAGGAACCGGAATAGAAATGCCAATATATGAATTTCCCTGCTCACATCACCCCAAAAAGCAAATAATGGGTTTTGCTATTAGAAGTACATGAAAACAACAAGTCAACAAGAACAACTTTTCGCGTTCTCTCACATTGCAATTTTTAGAAAAGTCAATTCACGCTCTGTAATGAACAGTTTTCGGTTAGCTTTTCGTTTACAAAATCCACCATAAACTGAAATTTTAATAGTTTTTACAGCAGCAACAAGTGCAAAGGTACATATATACACCGGGGAAACCCCCTTCCATCATCATAGATTTATCCCCACCCAATAGCGCCGCCTAGCCCATTTTATTTTTATTCCAGGCAGGCAGGCGCATTTCTATTTTATTTATTTTTTCATTACGAGAAAGCCGTAACACATATATTCTCATCTCTCTGCTGGGCGAGACAAATGAGTTTCCTGTGTCAACTGCGCCTTGAAAAAAAAATAAGAGAAAACAAAAAACAATCAAAGCGAGAATATACACAAACATTTCACCCACAAATGGAATTTTTTATGTTACCAATAAAAAGGAAATACTTAATCAAACTCACTATTGACAGAGGCATTTACTATATATATTTTCAGAGGGTGTCAAATGGGATATGGCGCCTAGGTTCTTAGGGTATATTTAGGTTTAGTTGATGTTGCTTAATTAATTAAGGCTTAATTAGTGGAAATATAAAAAGAGGGGTGTGTTAAAAATGATTTCTTTTAGTTAATTCAATTATTGTTTGTCGAATTTAATATAATTTCTTATTAAATATATGGTTATTACTATATTTTAGGTAAACTAATTTATATAGAAAACATTTCCATATTTAATAAAATTGTTAATTGTTAGATTATTAAATATGTAATTAAAATTTTAGAGATTATCTTTAAAAATATTTTATATTGAACTTTTTTTTATATATTATTTAATATTATTATTTATTTATTATGTATATATTACTTTATTTTTACATTAATCACTTCCTACTCCGGATTTTATATTAAATTATAAAATAATACATAGAAATATATTAAAATAAAAATTTATTTAAAAAATGGATTTACTAAAGTTCCCATAAATCAGTGAATTAAATAAAATATTTGAAGATTTTATGAATAAATCTAATTAAATTCCTAGAGATCTTTAAAAGCTTCTTTAAATAATTATTCAAAATACTTAACATTGAACTTTATTTATATATTATTTATTCCCTACTTGATTGTTTAATTAACCTTTATTTATATATTATTTATTTCCCTACGCAAATGACTCATAAATATAAATCAATTAAAAGAAATAAATAAAAATAATAAATCAAAATTTAATAAATTATTTTTAAAAGGCTCAATAATTTACCAGAACTTATTTCTTTACAAAAGATATCCATATAATTGTAATGGCTTTTTTATTTATTGTATAAATTATACAATTAATTGAAATTGTTTAATTTTCCCATCACGTCTCGTTTGGCCCAAAACGGTTAGTTGTTTCGGCCATATGGGGACAGCTTTTTGAGCTATACTCGCGTATAATTAAAAGTTCCGCCTTATCCAAAGTGCCAATTAATTGCAAAACCGAAATGCTATTACAAACTTTACTATACTTTATTTATTAAAGAGCCAAGAACATTGGCTGGGTGGCATTAATGGAGTGTAAGATTTTTATTATCCCATTTACGAGGCCCCGAAATGAAATAAAGCTTAAGCCATCCTGAATTTATGGGCGTACTCCGTGCTCGTGTGCCTGTCTAATTTCCACCCACTCTATTTTCCTTTTTTTTTTTCATTGCAGATGCCTGGCCACCAATAATCTGTTGGCTCTGCTGGGGATGCTGACCACATCGGTGCTGAAATACAACCTTTCCGAGGAGGTCCATCAGTCCTTTATGCGGCTGGACTGCGTGGGTCATGTGGTTTGGCGGTTCTTTGGTCTCAGTTCTGGCTGTATAGCGGCTGTGATGGCTGCCGAAAGGTGGATGGCACTGGCAAGGCCCTTTATTTACCACAAGGTTCGTATAGCTATGGGTCATTAAGCCCTCATAAAAGGGGGAAGCCTTGTGGGGGGAGAGAGAACCCTTACAATCGTCGGTGGAAAAGGCATTTGTGGGAATTGGAAATCAATTTAACAAATGATAGTAGAAAGTAGAAAACGTTTAGGTGAAATTTCTAAACTTTAAATGATTTATTTCCTTTTCTTAATTATAATTAAATTCATTTTATAATACAAATAATCTCCTCTGTTTCTCCCGCAGCACATCACCTACGAACTGATACGTAAAAGCATCAACAGCATTCTGATTGCAGCCGTAATCATCACATTTCTGCCATTTGTGGGCTTTGGAGCCTACATAGACGAATCCAATCCGGAAGAGCTCAAGTGCATACGTTATCGCGATGCCCAGGGTACATGGAACAAGTCCTATGCGGTGCTCTTTATGATATTTGGTAATTAGGAACCAATAACTTCCTTTCGCACTTATACTTTATATCCTTAAACCCTCCTTTAGGCACTCTCCTTTGCATCGTAATCGTGGCCTGCAATCTCTTTGTGGCCCATACTTTGATGTGCGTAATTGGCAAAAGTCGCACGGCTAAGCGACACATGACCTACGATCTGGTGTCCAGAGACAAGTCCAGTGTACAGATTGATCCAGAGAGTAGCAGTGCCACTACTCTCTACCAGACGCAGCTTAGTTCTGGCAGTGGAGGCAGCGGTAGCCATCGCGGCGCTTATCCTAATAGACATTACAGGCAAAGCGTCAGCGTGACCATGGCGGCCACAGAATCCTCACCGGTGGAGATTAAGTTTGCCAAGTTGATGGCATTCCTCAGCATCTCCTTTGTCATCTGCTGGATGCCACAGATGGTGAGTTGGAAATATACCTAAAAAACTATTCATAATTTTCAAAATTTTGTTATCCAGATTGCCATCCCTTTGGCCATTGCCCCGAATCGGGTGCCCTCTTCGAATCGTTTCTTCCTCATCGCCGATGTCCTAACGGCCTTGCACTTCACCTCTGATCCTTATGTCTATGTCCTGAGTCGCTCCAAGTCCATTAACTGGTCCCTGCTGGGCTGCATCAAGCGTTGGCGAAGTGGCTGGCGACCAGGTGGCCTAAGGCGCTCTCAGAGCGATCAGAGCCGCATGCGCACCACCATGACGGAGGCCAATACTCTGGACTTTAACTGACGAGTCCCTCCGTTCCGCTCGATCCTCAAGCTACAGCACCCAAGTACTTAACCGCAGGGCAGATCCTCTCTAGAGGGAGAGGAGCGCCTCCTAGTCTCCTAAGCTGTATATAATATAACCTATTTTGTATTACCATATCAAGCTTTCCCCCAACCATGCTCAGCTCACATAATCTCAGAATCCAAGATGGGATTTTTAGAAATAAATATATCATATATATCTGCATATTTGTGTATGTAAAATAAAAAGTGTCTGTGGAAGTTTTAATTGGTGGAAAAAGTTTAGTTTTATATTTATTTTAAATTTAATTTAAAAAGGGGATACAGTTAAGGTAAAGTTTAAAATATTTCAAAGCTCTTAACCTATAAAAATGTTTTAGGAATGTTGAGCTGTTAAAAAATTTTAAAAAATGTTTTAAATTAAATTTATACCCTATTAAATTTTATTTAAAAATTTTAATATTTTAATGTTAAGTTTAAAATATTATGCAAGTCTTAACCTGTATGAAAATTTTCAAGAAAGGTTTTTTTTTAAATCTCAAAAAAGAATCTTTTAAAATCCAGATATAAAAAAGTTTTGATATTTGTTTTATAACTTTATTTCCTATTTTAAATAACTCATAAAAGAGAGTTTTTGAATTACAAAAATTATAAAGTATTATTTATTTTTGAAATCCTTTACAAAGCAGATCGTAAAAAGCTTTCCAAAATTAAAAAAAAAAAGAAAGAAACCCATTCCCTTAATCAGAACACATTGCCTTTGTTTTACAACTACATTTTGTTTCATTGTTTATTTTAAAATTTATATGATTACATAATTTGAATGGTTGGACGACTGGTGTGTCTTGGTAGAGGGTGGTGGGGCATTGCATTGCTGGGAGGGGAACTTGGAATTGGAATTGGTTTTGTATTTTGTATTTTGAATTGGGGATTGTGCTCAGTTTTAGTTGGTATGGAAATCAATTCAATCAAGTTGTTTGTGGTGTTCTTGTCAAGAAGTTCGTCTTCGATTACAATGTATTCAACTGTCTTCATCGCTGGACGATGATTGCGTAAAGTTTTATTTGTTGTCTTGGTTGTTTTTTATGCAAATCAGGGGATGCAAATGTCAGATTGTGGACAGAGAGAGAGAGAGATCCCTCTTCCTGGGCATGTCTTGTGTGTGTGTATGTATAAATGGATTCCTTTTTTATGTTTAAATTACGTTCTTACAACTCGCGTTTCCTGCTTCGACTCTAAATTAATAGCGATTGTAGCGACCGCGTGCGCGTTGTCGCTGCGGCGTGGCCTTTGGCCCGGCGGCGGCTCGGGCAGGCGTGGCCTTTTTGGCCGGCGAGGGGGAAGCATCGGCTGCCGGCGACGCTGCAGCGGGTGTGGCAGCAGCGGCGGCAGCGGTAGCAGCTGCTGCAGCCTTGGCCGGGGTCTTGGTCACTGCAGCTGGCTTGGCGGCGGGAGTTGGCTCTGGTGCTGGCTCCGGTTCGGCTTCAGCTTCGGCCTCTTGCTCCTCCTCTTCCTGGGCCTCCATCTCCTCCTCGCCATTATCCTGGCCGGCATCCTCCTCACCCTCAGCTTCGGCCTCCTCTTCACCAGCGGCCTCGCCATCGGCATTGTCCTCAGCCATCTCAACATCATCATCATCACCGGTGGCCTCGGAGGGATCATATAGCTCACCCTCAGCACCCTCGGCAGACTCCTCCTCGGCAGCAGTGCCCTCGGCAGCCGGGGTCTCCGTCTCCTCGATCTTGCGCTTCTTGCGCTCATTCTCCTCCAGAGCAGCGGCAGCACGCTTCTGGGCAATCTTGGTGTCGCTGGACTTCTCGTTGATGAACTTCAAGAAGTTGCGATGATGGGTGGCCGTGCGAGTATGAATCTCGGCAGTGACCTCGGTGTCAAAGAACTTGCTGCACACCGAGCACTCGTAGCACTCCAGCTTGGAGACCAGGCCAGGACCAACGGCACGCTGCCAGTTGTACTTGGGCAGACGGGTGTCCACCTCGCTGGGAATCTCGTCGCCGTCGGCAAAGTCAAGAATGCAATCCTCGGGATCGACAGGCAGAGCCACCTCCTCCTCCTCCTGGCCCTCCTCCTCACCCTCCTTGGTCTCGTCGGCGTTCTCCTCACCCTCCTTGGTCTCATCGCCTTCGCCTTCCTCGCCCTCGGCGGCTTCACCATCAGCGCCAGCCTCCTTCTTAACGCTAGTGTCGCCATCGGCACCAGCCTCACCCTCCTTCTTCACCGGCTTCTTCTTGCGCTTCTGGGGCAGACGGAGATCGCGGGTTTCCTCCTCCTCGGTGCTGATGGGCAAGGTCTGACGCTTGCGCTCTCCCACCTTGGTGTTGCTCTCGGCGGCCTTCTTCAGATGCTCGGCGGACAGGAGATGAGTGTCGTAGTCAATGCGAGTGGCAAACTCCTTGTTGCACTCAATGCACTTGGGATGCAAGAACTTCTTGAGCTGCAAGTGACCCTCCGACTTGCGATGCGTGGAGATGTGGCCATGGAAGTTGAGATCGCACATGGTGCAGTAGTCCAGCTGACGCTGCTTGCTCTTGCCCATGCGCTTGAGGCGATCAAACTCAATGGACTTGAGCTGCTCGGCAATCTTAGCCTCCTGACGAATCATGTTGGCCTTTAGGCGGTAGCTCTCCTCGATACCCTCGCGCATCATCAGATGGGTGCGTCCCTTGATGTGGTTCTCGAAAGAGTTGGCGTCCCACATGTGCTTCTTGCACAGATGACAGTAGAACATGTCGTTCGGCACACTAGCGTACGGCGACTCCTTGCTGGGGCTATTGATTACGATTGTTAAATGGGGGGAAAAGGAACAAAAACAAAAATAGGTTTTATTAGTCAGAGATCTCGTATGACAGCGGGAAAGGAGTTGCGTCTGCGCTCTGGCTCTATGGAAAATAATACAAGATTAAAGGGAACAGAGAGAGTTGTTCGCGATGCGATTTATACTTATGATACGTACAGTACAGGTGAGTATATATATATTAATATTATTTAGCTATGATGATGCGTTATGTTTAAGGTGAGAATGGGCTGAGAGAAAGAAATATGCTGTAAATAAAAGTGATACTAATTCATCCCTTTAGTTTTATTTGATTTGATTTTAATATAATTGATTTTACTATTAATTTAAAAATTAAGGGTATTAATATTAATTTATAAATTAAAAAAAACCATCAAGAAAAGGAGGGGTTTTTCTTTAATTTATAAATCATTATTAATATCCTTAAATCATAAAATAATAATCATATTTATAATTATAAAATTGTTTTCTAAATTAATATTAATTTATAAATTAAAGAAAAACCTGACTTGACCTGATTTTCTTTTATTTTATAAATTAATATTAAAATTCTTAATTCCTAAATAACGAAAAATAACCTTCTGATCACAAAATCTAAGGTATATTTTTCAAAACTGAAAATAATATTTTATTTAATAATCTTTACTTTATTTATGGTATATTCGTGATCAGCAAGGGGATAAATCAGCTTTAAAAATTTTTATAATTAGTCTATTTATTTAAATTATAAATATTTTAATTTTTAATTTAACGATTTTTCTTTTTTTAATTTACAGCATATTTCTTTATCTGAAAGCACTTAAATATGTATGATCAAAGTATTAATTATCAATAAATTAATTAACTTGTAACATGAATTGGATGATATTTCAATTAAAAAGGGGAGATTCGTAGTCTTTTTACACTGAAATAGTGATTTTAATTAAATAACATTAATTTTGTATTAATTAAAATATAAAAAAATTTTTAACAAAATAAAAAATATTTATTAAATATTAGACTGTAAAATTTAAAATACATATGTATAAAACTGGAAGTGGCTTTATAATTTTTTTTTTTTTTTTCAATTTTACAGCCTATTTATATACAGCTGCGGCAAAAAAAATAGCACCATGACATATATTTTTCTTTATTGATTATTTGTTTTATAACTATTCATATATTTAACTTGTTTAAGGCTTTTATTTTTACTTTAGGCTCTAATTTATCGAAATACACTGCAAGTGTCGTCGATAATAACATGAAATTGAAATATTTACATTAAGAATGTGAACGTTGAACATTTTAGGCGGCAACAAAAATAGCACTATTTCAAAAATAACTTAAGAAAACGAAAAAAAACGAAAAAAAAAAAACCGGGAAGTTCTGGAATATTTGTATTCATTTGTATTCCTTATCGATATAGTGTATTAATATTTCGTTGTAAAAGCTTTGGCAGCAATGACAGCAGCACAACGTCTCGGCGTAGAATTGACCAAATTTTGGCACCTTTCCCGTGGAATACTGCTCCATGATTCTTGAATGGTGGCCCAGAGCTCATGATTAATCCTTGGTTTTGCATTGGAAACATATTTTTTTACATCAGACCAAAGATTCTCTATCGGGTTTAAGTCTGGAGACTGAGCAGGCCAATCCCTTAGGTGAAGGGATCTGTCTTGAAACCACTTAGGAGCGTTCTTGCTGGTATGTTTAGGGTCGTTATCCTGTTGGAAGACCCACAATAACGGCATTTCGTATTCTGCATAAGACAGCATCACTGTTAGCAAAATATTGATCCATAATACCTTTTATCCAATGTATTGGACCCACTCCGTAATAAGAAAAGCATACCAGCAAGAACGCTCCTAAGTGGTTTCAAGACAGATCCCTTCACCTAAGGGATTGGCCTGCTCAGTCTCCAGACTTAAACCCGATAGAGAATCTTTGGTCTGATGTAAAAAAATATGTTTCCAATGCAAAACCAAGGATTAATCATGAGCTCTGGGCCACCATTCAAGAATCATGGAGCAGTATTCCACGGGAAAGGTGCCAAAATTTGGTCAATTCTACGCCGAGACGTTGTGCTGCTGTCATTGCTGCCAAAGCTTTTACAACGAAATATTAATACACTATATCGATAAGGAATACAAATGAATACAAATATTCCAGAACTTCCCGGTTTTTTTTTCGTTTTTTTCGTTTTCTTAAGTTATTTTTGAAATAGTGCTATTTTTGTTGCCGCCTAAAATGTTCAACGTTCACATTCTTAATGTAAATATTTCAATTTCATGTTATTATCGACGACACTTGCAGTGTATTTCGATAAATTAGAGCCTAAAGTAAAAATAAAAGCCTTAAACAAGTTAAATATATGAATAGTTATAAAACAAATAATCAATAAAGAAAAATATATGTCATGGTGCTATTTTTTTTGCCGCAACTGTACAAAAATAATTTAATTATTAATAATTTAATTTTTGTACATTATTTATACATACAAAAATAATTTAAATTAATTATTAATTAATTTTTTTTATTTTATTTATACATAAAAAAATCATTTAATTATTATAACAAATTTTAAATTATTTAAATAATGTATAAAAATCTTATTTATTATTATTTTTATTTAATTAAAACGCTTTAAACAAAAACAATAATTTTAAAAGTTGATTGTTCAAAGTTTCTCCCGTTTTTAAATTCAAAGGCTTAAAAATTAATTAAAAAAAGGCCCACAAAACACAAAAGTGAAGCCCATTCTTCAAATAAAAAAGTGATTTGCTAAATGAATTTAAATATAATAAGTTTTCAATAAAAAAATGTATATATTAAAGCTTTTGACTGTTGAAGACACACATAAATATATTGAATAAATATCCCTTTTACTTTTGGAGGCGTGGATCCGCCCAAAAAGACACACTAACATAAATAGCATCGGGGAAAAAATGTAGTAAATATCCCTAAAGAATAACTAAATGCTAATTAAATATATGTGAGGAGACGCAATTAGAGAAATTCCAATTCCTAAGTACTTAAGTAAAACGATTTAAATTAATTATATATATTAACGCTGCGCTGAGATTGTTTAAAATTTTTGTATGTTTTTTGGGTGAAAGAAATTAATCTTTCGATTTGTTGTTTTTGGGGCAGCAAAAAATGTATTCATTTTAAAGATTCTTAATTTGTTGTGGTTTTGTTTTTGGTTTTTTTTGTTTCGGAAAAATTGTTGTAGTAAGTCTTACCTCTCGATCTTCTTTTCGCCAGGAGTAGGTTCCTTCTTTTTATTTTGGTTGGCATTTTTAGCCAAAAGTTTCTTGGCACGATCAAAAGCATTTTGCTTGCGAATACCGCCGCCGCCCTGCTTTTGCGGGGGCTTGGGACCACCAGCACCACCAGTGGCGCCACGATTTTGGAAGCCTCCCTGGCCACGACGGTTATTGAGACGATTGCCGGCACCGCCACCGCGACTGACCATCTAATATTATTATGTTTACGAGTTACATATATAATAGTTCAAGTGCCATGACAGCACAATTGAATTGGATTTTGATTTTGGTTCGAGTTTTACAAACAAAATTTCACATAGGACATTATTTTTGAAATATCAGAGACAAATATGGCACACATTTTGGGGGCCATTTACAATGTTTTTGTGAGAGACAATATATGGCAAAATGAACAGAGATTATAAAGGGTTTTTTGATCAAAAGGAAGTCATTACATAAAATGTATAAAAAATGGCATTTATAGCACAGGTTTATGGTCAGTTTGGCGGGGCAGTTACGACGGCCAATCAGTCGACGGGGAATAAGTTGGATGATATATATAAGGTAGCACATATATATATTTCATGCGGTTCCAGTCGTTGGCATTGTGGCGGCGCGTGGCATATTATATATTTTGTATTATATATATAAATATATTGGTGATTTGGTTCATTTTTGAAAATGGAAATCAGAGGCAGGAACGGAACGTCGAAGAAGAAATTTGGCGATGTGATTTGCATTAGACATTAAGACAATATTAAAATGGATATTATTTCGTATATATATATTTTTTATATATGTTGCACCATCATTAAGCAGTGTACCAGTACCAGATCGGATTCAGTTTTTCGGTTTTCAGAGCAGAGCAGATTTGACAATTGCCACAAACGAGTGCAATCAATATCAATCGAGCAATCGAGCAATGGAGCAATCAATCAGTGGCGTCGCACGGGAATCAATCATCATAGATCATCGCATCGTTTTTGTGGTCGCCATTTCGCATATATATTTATATATTTTTGATTTGGTTTTTGGCATATTGTTTGCGAATCGCATGTTGTGTGTGTGTGCGTTGCATTTTTCAATTTTATTTGGATTTTTCGAAAATGTGCATATATTGTTGGCCGTTGAAATTGAATTGATTATTTTGTGGGGGGGTTTTATATTCGTTGAGGAGAGAGATGCGGGGGCATCAACGGCCACAACAACAACAACACGCAACGGCAGCAGCAGCAGCAACAACAACAATTATATACAACAATATGAAATTATTGCATTCGAAATATGCGAGAGACGATGCAGTTTTTTTTTATATTTATATTTGTATTGAAAAGCATCGAATTTTTGAGTTTTGCGTTTTTGGTTTTGGAAGAGAGAATAAAAATAGATAATGGATAAATTAGAAAAGCGCTGTGAAAGTACGAGGTCCAGCCAAGAGAAGGTTTTGGTGGAATTTCGTGGAATAATTCGTTTAAAAATATGTTTTTAAAAATGTTTGGTAATTATTAAATGCTTAAGTACATCTAGTAAATAAATTACTTATGATTCAATCTTGATATATAGAGATCAATCATCATCATCATCAATCAATCATCATACTCTTTTCATCGTTAAGTGGAACAAGTGTTGGCGGTACATGTTTTAATAGGTACATTTTATCGTTATCAATGCTTTGTTTCGTGTATATATAAATCTTTCGTTTCATTTATCGCTTTGTTTGTGCAGTTTCTACAGAACTAAAAACAAAAGTTGTTGCATTTTAAATGGAATAAATGCGTTTTTTATATGGAAAACCTTTACATCCTTTTTAAACCTTACACACAAACACTGCACAATTTTCTTATTACTTCTTTTCTTTCAAACAATATAAAACAAACTAAACAAAAAAGTGTAATTTCACTTCTATATTTCTTGGTTTTTAGTAAATAAACTACAAGCTACGGTTTAGATTTTGGTTCTGGTTTTGGTTTTTATCTCTTAAAGGAAAAGCATTAGCTACAAGTTTGGCAATATAACAAAACTAATCAATGTTAAAATGTAATAAACGCAAGAGTATTTAGTTCTTTGGTGGAGTGCAAGGGAAAATAATACAATTTCTTTTTAAAGAGGTATTTGTCGCTTTCAGAAAATTTGGTAGGAATCTTCAGCTTGCTTTTTAAGAAAGTAAACAGAAATAAGAATCAGACTGTTCAGTTATTTATCAGACATTTTTACCCATAATTCCTAAATATTTATTAATAAAAATATTCTAAGAAATATATAATTTTATAAATTTCTCCCTGCAACTCCACTTAAGAAATTCGATTCGTTATTCACACGAATTTCAAAAATGTACTAATAATTAAAATAACATAGGGTTATACAACAATTAATTTCTGTTGGCATTGTCAACTTAATATAGACATTATTTTAAGGATTTGTACATACCGGGCCACCGCGCTGATTGCGATTTCCCATGCCGCCGCCGCCGCCGCGAGGCAAGTCGAGGAGCGATGGTGGATTCTGGTTGCGGAACAGATTGTTCAGCAGATTGTTGGCTAAATTGATGGCCTGGGCATTCATCTGACCGCCGCCCTGGCGCATGTTGTTGCCAAATTGGCCGCCACCACCAGGATTCTGGGACTCCCACGGCGACATGTTCATGCCGCCCATGCGATTGGCGCCCATGGGTCCTCCATAGTTGTTGTTTCCGCCGCCGAAGTTGCGATTACGGTTCTGGTTACCACGGAATGCCATGCTATTGCCGTTGACGTTAGCTGGACGATGCTGTTGAGGATTTTTGACAATTTTTACGCTGTAAAAGGTAAACAATGAACAATTAATAATGAAATCTCTTTTGAAAAAGTGAGGAATTGGGAATATTAAGGATTGTTTCGGGGATGGTGAATGTGCACAGCATACCTGACCATAATTTTGATGGGTTTTTAGGAGAGTTTTGTGGGATGCTTTATTTTAAGGTGAAAGGTTTTGTTTTAAAGCGAGCAAATAACTTAAAAACAAGCTGAAAATAAAAAAACGGCACAAAACAAGACGAAACAAATTTTGAAATACAAGCGGGCAAACAATATGTTTATTAATTTAAGTTAGTAATTTTTATCTCACGGGTTAGTTTTACTTGAGAATTGTAACCCCGAAAAAACCTTTTACAAAAAAGCGTGCGTATACACACTGCTACAGACACATACATACACACACAAACACAGAGAAAGAAATAGTAGGGGTAACAAAAAACAAGAAAGAAAAGAAATGGGAACATTTTTGGCGCTTAGTCAGCTGAATTTACAGTAAAAAACTGGTCCCGGACGAGTTCATTTGCATCAAGTGCTATTATTTACCGAATACAATAACAAAAGCCGCACAAAATATATAGAATTCGGCTGCAAAGCGGAACAAATACAAGATGGCGGCCAGACGGAGCGGTGCTTGTGCCCGCGTGCGTGTGTGTATGCAATTGATTGAGTCAGAAGCCGGCCGGGCGCCATGCGCTAGAGGGAGAGGGGGATAGCGGAAAAAAACTACGAAAAAGTACATTATCCAGCCATAAAAATAGTAAAACCACTTAATTACACAATGTGCCTCAATAAATATGCAAATGTCAAGACTGTACGACCTTCTTAGAATATCAGGCCCCCGTTAATCAAGGAATATCACGAAAATAGGCAGTCAAATGGCTCGTAAATTAACAATTAGGCTATTATCTCGTTACTGTACCCCGGGAGGCCCGGTAAAAATCAATAATTACTATTTTAAGCGCCCAGGGCAAGCGTAAAAAAAAATGTTCGCCAACAGATACACACACAAAGGTTTTTTCACAGCCATCACCAATACACAGAAGGAACTACAGAAAAAACGCTGTATTTTGTTGGTAACTTACGTAAAGCAACGGCGGTTTGTCAATTACTGCGTTATTCCGCTGCCACTATTGTTTATTAACTTTTGCAAGGGCTCCTCCTTTGCTGAAAATATTTAGCAATATTTTACGAACGATCCGAACGAGGCAAGGTTATTGTTGATAATATATCGATATTTCCCTGAAAATGATATATTTATATCGAGAAATCGAAATCGAATGACAAGTGGACAGCAGCGTTGCCAATTTAGCTAATTTCCCACTGTATCTGGCGTGTTTCAAAACCTAAATGCGGGATATTTTGTGAACTAGCGGCTAGCGGGAATTATACCTATTTTCCAAGCGAAATTGGCGTAATTTTAGCTTTTTGTATTATTATGTTTCATGTATTATTATGTTTTATGATGCCTCACTTAAATACTTCGTAGTATCGATATTCCAAAAGAGAATTACATTTTTCTAATCGATTTTTACTATGAAATAAAAAAAAAAAAATTTATAAAATTAAAAAAAAAAAAATGTTGACAAAATTAAAAAAAAAAAAATGTTGACAAAATTAAAAAAAAAAATTTGAAGAAACAAATTTTTGACAAAATTTGGAAAAAAAATATATATTAAAAAAACTTTGAAAAAAAAATTTGACAGAATTATAAATGAAAAATTGGCAAAAATTTAGAAAAAAAATTTGACAAAATTAAAAACAAATTGACAAAATGTTGATAAAATTTTATTTAAAAAATTTGGGGACAAAATTTTGAAAAAAAATGTTGACAACATTTTGAAAAAAAAGGTGGCAAAATTTAAAAAAAAAATGTAAACTTAAAAAAAAAAACAAACCAAAACATACATAAATTCAGGAACTTGACCATTTTTCAAAAATTCTTCAACAATTAATACAAAAAAATTGTTTTCTTTCCCCTAGCGTTATTTTTTAGCTAACATCCAAATTTTCTGGCTATTTCTAGCTTTTTTCGAAGTCGGGTTTAACTTTTTCAAGCCCTGAAGAGTTGGCAACACTGGTGGACAGTCTGCTAGTGGTCGCAGCCAAGACTATCGAATGGTTAGGGATGGCACTAATAAGGATAGATTATGCGATGGTTTTTTATAAATTTATTTATTATACCCCATTAAAAACCACTTTGTTTACGTTGAATACGTTTTTATATCAAATTGTTTACACACTAAACTATAATCTTAATTCTTTAGCTATATTTTAAACGAGAAAAACATCAGGCTAAGAATGCGATAGGGAACTCCTACATTATTCTAATGCATTAAAGCGCCATATAGCCGTCTTGCTCGCACTTGCGTAAAACGCTATAGCGCTGTCAAATCTTTAATAAAGTCTCTAATTAATGCGCCAGTGTCATACGGCTATAACAAGTTTTTATTTTGCCAAACCTAATAAAGTGTTTTATTGCATGAATTTCTTTTACGTTTCCTTGCATTAATTAAAGTTTTTATTTTTCAAAATAAAAATTAATACAAAGTGTCTTTTTCATATTATAAAATATAAATTAATACTACATTGTTTCTTCATTAATTTCTTTCACATTCCCTTGCTTTAACAAAAGTTTTTATTTTTTTCAAACACAAATTAATACAAAATGTTTTTCATGTTCCAAACAAAAATTAATATAAAATATTTTCTTCATTAATTTTAAATTAATACATTTTTTCTTCATTAATTTCTTTTACATTTCCTTGCCTTAACATAAGTTTTCATTGTTTTAAACACAAATTAATAGAAAATCATTTCTTAATTATTTTTCTTTAACATTTTCTTGAATTAATAAGCCAATAAGTAATTTTTAATGTTTAAAAACTCCTCACTAGAGATCAACATCAAAAAGTTTCTCCGCATCCTCACGGGTATTATTGTAACGAGCCTCGAGAATTTGAAACAGAATCTTCCGAGTGGTATCCACACACTGCTCCAGTTCTTTGGATGTCATACAATCAAGAAGGTTAAGACCATCAATCAGAAATGAGTCGATTCTTCCGGCACGTAAATTGCCAGAGAGTCGGGTCCAGATTTCGCTGAGGAGACTGACCCAGTCCCTTTGCCAGTTTATAACGGAAAGTTGATGGAGCACCACCGTCACCAGCATGTAGCTTGTTAATTTTGGCAAACTTTTCAAATGGAGCCGGCGTAGGCGATTCATTAAATGAAGAATCTTCAAGGATTTCGGCTGCTGCTCGAGTAATTCGTTCTCCCAATCCGGGGCACATGCCGAAAAAGTGCGATCGTCATTATTTTTTGGATTCCTCCATGGAATGGCAAAATACCAAGGAAATTTGTTACGCACACGGGCTGGAACTAGCGAACTAGAGAAAGGCCATTTTGACAAGGGCAACTTAAAGGCTGGTTCTACAATATATGATATTTTTGATATTTTAGGAAGTAGTATAGTTGGAGAATTTCTTTCAACGCTTAATTTTCCACTTTCATATTTAAAATTATAAATATCTGTGTTTAAATTCAGACGTCCGTTAATAGTAAACAAATTGCTTACATATTTGTCAACATTTTTAGAGAGCATAAAACCTTCGGGGGATACGATCGCCCAATAAGCCTCACTGTCCTCAAATAGTACTTTTAAATTTAAGAGGCCCCTTTCTCTCTGTATGGGTATTATTTCGGAAAAATTTACAAAGTCGAAGAGTATATCGTGGGCTAAAAAGAATTTGTTTATTTATCACAGATTTATGTTGTATATGTTGGTAATTTTTTTTTAAAACTTACACCCATTGCGTTTAGTCGAATATTTTAACTCGGTCAGCGCATCTTCCCAGCACCCAGAATCTGCCAGAGTGTCGGTTAATATTTTGTAAATATCATTTAAACACTGTTCAGAATTCATTTTGTGCGTCTTAAGAATTTGCTAGAACTTCAATATTTACAAAAAAACTTCGAAGAAGCTGAGGACTTTAGTGTGACCGCGGTCTTAGAGCTAGATAATACCGGGCTTCTAAAATAATATTAAAATTATATTTTTCACTTGCATATTCCGTGATACGTAATTTGCAAAATATATATGTTCCATATACCCTCTATATACTAAATATATGATTTTTATTAAATCTTTCATTAAAATATACCTAATATAAATATAAGCTAACTAAAACATATTTTAATTTTTTAACATTTAGGTTTAATTTAGTTGTTTACAATGCAATAGATAACCTGGGTCGTTAAGAATAAACCCATTTTAGTCAAATTCAAAGAAACAATAATTATATAATTATAAATAAAATAAAATAAAACAATATTAAATAATAAGTCGGCTTTGATCAAATTTCAAAAACATTATTTTAAAATCGTATAAAATAGTTATGTATATCTGAGAGGGAATTATCTTATCCAAAAATTAAGAATACTAAAAAAATTACCAAATCCTCAAAGTAGATGCAAAATATGAAAAGTTATAATATATAAATTTTAAAAATTTCCAATTATTCTTATGGAAGCTAAAAGATATAGCATCCGATCTGGTCCGACATGGATAAATCGATTCGTCTGTTGAAGCTGATCAAGAAAATATATACATACCGACGTCCCAGTTCGACAATCTACGATTATATATTTTTAAAAAATTTTAAAAATAAATACTTTTAAAAAAAATACTCAAATTTTTTTGATTAAAAATATTAATAATATTAAATATAAGCTACGCCTAAGTAATAGCTGCTATTAAAGTATCCATTCTTATATAAATTGTATGTATTTATTATTTATTATTTTATTTTTTAAATAAAAACAAAATACCATTTCAATTTATAATAGAATAGAATAGAATAGAAAACTCAAGCCTTTTGTTGAATGGCATCATTCGATTTTATTTAATTTGCGTAAAACTGACGCAGATCTCTGCGCCCTTTTGCAATGCATTATGCATCGATTTGATTTACATACAAAGGGATTAAACATATTAATTGTAAACATTATAATAGGCAATAATTATATGTACTAGCAATAGTTGTGTTTTTTTTCCATTTTGTGTATTACTGCTGGCTTTTGTGTAGTTAATTAATTAAGTACCACAGCGTAAGGGTAGGCTCAACAACAAAAATATGTGTGTGTGGCATATCTTTCTCCTACGACCTTTCATTACTTCTCGATCCAAGTATTTGTTTTTTTTGGTGTTTCTTTTGTGTCTTTGTTTCAAGTGCAGGGGTTTTTTTTTATAAGGGGGTGACTTGGGATGGGGGCATCTACTAAAAGTGATAGATTTAACCATACACATTCACATACATTTACAATTAGAATGGATTTAAGGGCGGTGCCTCTAAAACCGCCTCTCCACACATTAGTTAACATTATTTTATGCTACAGTTTTGCCGGATTTGTGAACTAAGTTGCGCTATTAAACAATAGTAACTAGAGAAAAACACTCACCCAAAAATACGACATGCTTCGGGAAAGGAAAGGATTACTAAAAGACTCGCAAAAAATGTGCTTTAAGAATTCTAATACATTATCTAAAAACTGACTGAAAAGGAACAGGGGTTCCCATAAATTCAAATGGAAAACAATTCCTTTTAAATATGCTAAAATTGTGAATTTAAAGACAAAATATTTCTGCCTAATACATTTAATCACTTTCCTCTACACACCTTAAGTTTCTTTTCCAAACTTTATAGGTTCCGCGAGTTTGCATTGATTTTGGTTTGTGTATGTGTGTGTGTGTGTGTGTGCAGTTTCTAGGGATTTCTAGGGATCTTCTGGGATCGGTTTAGATTCGTAGCTTCCTAGAGCCGCCCTCGACGTATTTACATATTGGCAGCCGCTCTGGAAAGGCGCACCACCTAGTAGAAGAAAAGCAGCCTCTCCTGGGCCGAGGCGGAGAGCAACCGCCACGATCGCTTGATGCTCACATACTGGATGAGGGCGCGTATGCTGATTAGGAAGCCAAAAGCGCAGATAAGCCACCACAGCCAAGAGTTCTCGTGCGAAGCCAAGTCCGTTGAATGCTTCACAATCAGTGTCCACTTGGCCAACGATAAACCAAAGCCGGATAGGGCTCCATACCGGGCGGCGATTGTGTGACAGAAACAGGTGAGCATCAGGAATCCTATCCAGTTGAACAGGAATGCCACAATGAATGCCGTTATGAACATAATGTCCGTTCCCAGCAAATTGTCCGTTGTGGAGAGACTATTCTCCGGATCGCTGGCATCGATGGCGATAAATGTCAGCGCTGGCTGAGCGGATCGCACGGCTGCGGCACCGTCGCGCAGCGGATTCGGCGGCAGCAGAGGATTCGGCGGCGGCGGCAACTGCTGGGACGAGGGCAATGTCAGAAAGGCGGGCGGCAGCTCTCCGTTCAGTGACTTCTCCATTTGCACCTCCTCGTAGGTGGGCAGCTTCCCGTGCAGCTCCTGCGTTAGTTGTCCATTAATCATCTCCGGCTGACCCGGCAGCTGCACTTGCATCTGCATGGGAATCTGCATCTGACCGGGTTCGGGCGTGGCCAAGGCCAGCGAGGGCATCTGAGCCGGCAGTACCACCTGCTGGCCATGGACCGCGTTAGCCTCGTACGGCGGCGGTGCACTAAAGTCTGCCTTGGGGGGTCCCAGTTGATCGTCCCCGGGAGATGGTTGGTTGTTGTGCGGCATGGCTGGAAAAATGGTGACAATGAAAAGGGTTTTTTTAAGTGAGTTTGTTTCTATCTACAAAAATTAAATACTATTTTTAACAAAAACAAACTTATTTGACACGAGTTCAAGTCGTGGTAAAGTATATAGTTTTTGACCAATTTTAAGCCAAGATTTACCTATTTTTTATAGTTAAAAATTGGTTTTATGCTGTTTTCCCATAGATAAAATGGGTGATCTTTATGCATCTCTGAAAAATGAATCTTTTAAGCCAATTTTCCAATAAAATTTTAAGCTAAAATCTTATTCTGAATGAATTGGATAATACTTCATGTGACATGCGTCTTCGGCCAGTTTTTATTAGTCCAAGCAGCGTAAAACTGGTATAAACTTTATACTGTAAAACCTTAAAACTATATCTAAATTAAGTTGTAAAGAATATAATTTCTTTTGCTTTTTAGTTTTTCGTTTTTATTAACGTTAATAGTTCACGCGGCGTTTAATAAAGTTAGGTGTATAATAAATAAATGGTCGGCTAACTGCCAAAATTGCATTGCATTAACTCTAGGTTTTTCGTTTTTAGTTTTCTTTCTCTCTGAGCAATCGTTCGTTAATACTCTTGGTCCAAAGTTATTATATTTTTTTGTAAAAGGCACTTTAGTATAAGGGCTCTTAAGACTACAGCATTCGTCATTTCAGAATGGTTGCGTTAAAAGGGTTAAACTTAAAAACAATTGGACATGTTAGACATTCAAAAAAACAAGAAATTGTTCGTTAGGTGGAGCGGGTTTCCTAGTTAGTGGCAGTGCCTGCTGGGGCGATTAGATTGGACCACCGCTTGATGCTGATGGGCCTCCTCCAGCGTTAGGATGCGGCAGGGGCCAAAAGGACGTCGTACTGGTCGCAACGGTTTCAAACCATCCACCTCGTCCATTCCCTCGTTCTGGCAGCCGCCAACCACACCATCCGTGGCCGTTATGGTGGTGCTGTCTTGCAGCTTCTGCTTCTGCAGCTTCTCGTGTCGCAGGTACAGGACCACACAGCACATGGCCATGAATAGAAGGGCCAATGTCGCTCCGCTCACAATGCTGGCCTTCTCCAGCATCACACGATTCCTTGTGGGCAGGTAAGAGCCATCGATCTCCTTGTACTCGCACCTGGGTCCCATAAAACCCAAGGCGCACTCGCAATTGTACAGGAGTTCGTTGTGTATCTCCACAGTGAAGCAGGTGGCATCGTTTAGGCAATACCAGGCGGCATATGTTGGTGGACAGGCGTAGATCGGAAAGGTGACATTTGGCCTGGGTGTTGTTGTGGTCAGCTCTACATTATCCGGCGGCGGCGGCTGGATCGGAGCAGCTGTTGGCCGCGGCTTGGCAACGGTACGCGAAGAGCAGGCGGCGGTTAGCGGCAGCGAACAAGCGCCGATTAAAGCGATAACAAGCAGCAGATCCTGGACAACTTGCATCATGATTTTTAACTCATGGCAGCCTTTACTTGGAATGTGAGCTGATGATGATGATGGGACACAATACTGTTGTGGTGTATTGAATAGTGTAAACTGTGGAATTCTTGGCTGGCAGGTTGGCTGTCTGGCGTGCTGCTGCAAAACAAAAACGAAGTGCAATTAAATTTCAACTCAAAAATGATTTGTGTGGGTTAATTGCCTGCCTAAGCACCGAGCCAGCCGCCGCCTTCCCACCAACCAAAACACCTAGGCTCGACCTAAGTGAGAAGAACGAGAGAAACAGAAACAGAAACAGTTGAAAAATCGAATTTCATAAATTTTTGAACAGTAAATGTCATCGTTTATTTACCTGGCCAGAATCGCGAGCGGAACTCAAGCGGCTGTTGTATTTGCACAGTTTGCTTTAATATTATTGAGTACACTCTCACTTGACAAAATGTTCACTTCAGACACTTAAATTCACAGAAATTCTGTGTTTACAATACTTGATAAATTTAGACGAAAAATTATCAACTTAATCTAAAGGTGCTAATTGAAAACAGATTCAAAAAAAAGTGTCAAAGTAATCGCCTAAGATCAGAAGTTATATACTCGATGGAGTTTACATATTGTGTATTAAAAAAGTAACTACTTTATATATATTTTAGTTACTTATAGGTTTTTAGTATTAAATCATGCATTTATTTCCAGAAAAGTAATCTTAATTTATTTGCTGTGGGTAAACCCTTTTTGTTTATTTAAAAAGCCACAAGTATCAAATGGATGGTTTCACCAATATCAACAAGCCTTTAATTTAAAAGCTGAGGCTTTCGATTTTTCAATAGAAACAAACAATTCCATTGTTGGTGTTCTAGCTAAAAAAGCTGCAATTTGAGTGGGCATATGAATAAACAAATGGTTTTCCGTCTTGGCGGTGATGTTAGCTTTGATCATTACGAACGAAAACCATAATAAAATCAGTGCGTTAATCAGCCTAACAAGACGTTTTCTATGGAGGCTGCTGATTGATAATTATTAGTTAAATATTTCAGTCAGCTTAACATTTTTATTGTTAAGTAAGCAGCAGCAAAAATTTTCCATTTCGTCTTGCATTTATTCGATTAATTAAGAACAGCTTGTCTTAGCCATTATCAAGTTCTTGCTAAACAATCCTAAACGATTAAATAAATTTGAAAAAAATATATAATCGATGTTAATCATGCTAACAATAAACTGTCTAGTTTTAAATTTAGATAGTAAAGGTCTTTTAAGAATTTCACAATTTTAAAGTTTGTGCAAATAATTTGTTATATCTTTAAATTAAAATTTTGTTTAACTAATTTTTTTTAGAGATACCTAGTGAGGTTATAGTCTTGATTTTATTTCTAGTGTGAAAGTCGAATCAAAGAAAACATTTCATTGGTTTGATTTCCATACAATGATATCGTGACACAAAAGATAAGATAAATATATATATTTTCAAAACAAAAAAAGCTCTTATCTTTAAGCTTTAAGTGAAACGAAATCGTAACTAAGAAATTGAATCTAGTGAAACAATATACAAATACATTTAATTACAATTCAACTTTCAGAACTCAAAGTCACAAGAGTCTTTCTCCCTCACACCCCCAAACACACACCTCTATACATTCATCTAAAAATAACAACAACAATACGTACGAGTGAAAGTTGACAGCTGAAATGGCACGAGAGTGAGAGGAAGGCAGCCAGAGACTGACAGAAGGCAACGCACAAATGCAATTAAGTTGACCTTTCGGTCAATTGAAATTGAAACTGAGAAGAAAAGAAACAAGAATTGCGGCCAATCAAGAAGAGTGCCTAGATTGTGCCCAATTTCTGCAAGTGTATGTGCGTTTGCTCCACTATATTTTCTACGTTTTTCGTGTGGGCGAGCGGACGTAAGCTTGAATAATGAGCTAATAGACGACAAACGAGCTCAATGGGCACCTGGGGGCTTATCAAAGAGTGCCCTCGGCGAAAGGGAAACCCAACGAATGTTGATTAGTGCAGAAAACAAGAGAAAATAATACAAAAAAAATATATGTCCAAACCAATTGATAAAGGTGACGAATGCCATCCACAAGTGTGGAACGAAAGTGGAGTCATCTAGTAATAACAGTTAACAGCGAGGTGAGTCAGATGTTCGAGCATTTGAAATATTGCAAAATTGCACGACACCGTAAGATCGTACGGGTGTACAGTGGAGCCTTCAACAACTCTAATTTTGTAACAATAAAAAAATAGCTTCAAAACAACTAATTTATTAACAATTAACATTATTTCTTCCGTAACTGGAAAAAAGTTTTTATAATTATTAAAAATTCATAAGTCTAAAAGAAATGTTACCAAGGTTCCACTGTGACCATGCGTATGTGTGTTTGTGTGGGAGAGGGAGTAGGATGAAGTAGAGAGGGGGAAAGCAACAGGGCCGCCGCAACAAAAGGCGTTGAAAATTAGCAAATTGCCGAGGAAAAAAATAACAACGCAGTTTTCGTTTAGGCCAGGTTTTCGTGTATGGTCTTAAATTTCAGCCCCGTTGATAAGAAACTCGAGCGCGTGGACCAGCTGCCGTGCAGCAGGTGTGTGCCAGAGGGAGACGGAAGACACACGAGCGACAGAGGTAAAAATAAGAAGGAAACCAGTCAAACGGGACCGGGACCACAAAAGAGGAAGATGAAGATGCAAGCGAAAGATGAAGATGGGAAGGGGAGGGGGTGGAGGTGCAAGATGGGGGAGAACGAAATGGATGGATGAATGAAGGTCTCAAGAGGCGATTTCCTGGATTCTCAGGCATTGAATGAAAAACTGCATTGGTATTGTGGGGATAGAGAAAGAGAAGAGGAAAGAGAGGCGACAACAAGCAACTGCAAGTTAGATCAAGTTTCCAAGCAAACGGCTCAGCAGCCAGCTTGTTGTTATTGTACAAGGGCAAATGAATTAATTTACTTGTGTAAATATGAATTAAATAAACAAGTACTGCAAGCACACAAACAGCCCCAGACTTATCAGAGTGTTCACTTTTTTTAGCACCTGAGTGGCGAAACCCCAAACAGAATTAAGTTTATTAATTTACTAAACAAAACATAAACACATGTACACACACACACTCACACACTGGGAGAGAGGGTGAAAGAGAGAGAGAAAGCCAGGACTTTTTGCCTGTAACCGTTAGTTTCTCCTCCTCCCTTCTTCGTTTTCGGCCCTTTTTTCTATTTCTGTTTCGATTTTGACTCGAATTGATGTCTATTTTGCCTTTTCCGTGCCATGTTCTATTTATTCACCTTGTTTTCTTCTATGCGTTGGTCGTTTGGTGGCTTTTCTCTTCTGCGCAGCTCCCTCTCACGTTTCAGTTTCCGTTTTATTGATTTATTCAATTGTGTATTTGTTGTTGCTATCGCACAGGGAATACTGCAGTTGCTTCGTTGGTTTGTATGGGTTTGTAACACGTATGGAATTAAAATTAATTAAAACGGTTGCTACTTCGCGAGCGAAGCGAAAAAACAATTGCACCAGCAAATAAGTTTTCGTTTTCTAGCACTGGCCAGTGTTGCCTGGGGTTGAGAATGATATATCAAAATATCGATATATCGATATTTTTCCTGAAAATGAGTGACACGAGCCGAGTTCGATAGCAACTGCTTGCAGTCGATAGCCGTGTTGTGCATTTATCGGCCATCGCTATCTAGGAAATTGTAAACATACGTGGACGTAGTAAATTTAATTAGAATTTAGCCCCAAAGATGCTGCGATTTGTGGTCTTTCTTGTGCTGACCTTGAGCGTGAGTTTACAGAGATCTCTAAAAAATGTAGACATTATTCATTTTTCTCCTCCCGTTTCTGTAGTGCCAGCTAATTCAGGCAGAGATGACGACCGCCGACTGCCGGGAACTGGGTTTCATCAAAGCCCAGTTGATGTGCTCCAGTTGTGACAAATTGGATGATTTTGGCTTAGAAACCATCAAGTAAGTCTCCTAAGACCCTTGATTATTGTTATATACTGATTCTCTGGGATTTTACTTTATACAGACCCCATTGCAAACAGTGCTGCACTTTGGATCAGCAGCCGGCCGCCCAGCGAACTTATGCCAAGGCCATCTTGGAGGTGTGCACCTGCAAATTCCGTGCCTATCCGCAGATTCAGGCCTTCATCCAAAGCGGCCGGCCCGCCAAGTTCCCCAATCTGCAGATTAAATACGTAAGGGGCTTGGATCCAGTGGTCAAGTTGCTGGATGCCAGCGGTAAGGTCCAGGAGACGCTGTCCATCACAAAGTGGAATACAGACACGGTCGAGGAGTTCTTTGAAACGCATCTGGCCAAGGATGGCGTTGGCAAGAGTTCCTATAGCGTGGTCGAGGATGCCGAAGGCGATGATGAGGAGGATTATCTGCGTACTAATAGGATTTGAAATTAACATTCCCAAAATAATTAGAGTAATAAAAACTGTAGAAGTTATGCACTTGAGGTATTATTAATTGAAAACTAATTTAAATAGAAAACAAAATTAACTTTAATACTCTTTGATACCTCATTAAGCAGATGACTTTATTATATACAAGTACTCTCTTAAATCTAAACTCAAGCCGCGTTTTAAGTTAAGAAAACCAGTTACTTGGCCATTTGTTAAGTTCAACAAGTTCTGCAGTTTGAAAACCACTCGGCTTTATAAGCTTTTTTAACGCGCCACCGGCAAAAGCTTCACAGTTTGGGAACCAGTTTTGATTTCTACTGCATTGCGACGCCTGAGGGTAAGTGAGTCGCAGAGGTTTCTTGATTCATAAATATAATAATTAATACGATTTATTTGTTATATTCTTATCGATGGGCAAGGAAAGTTCCCAGCACCATCAACAATGTCTGGGCTTTGTGGCCACGCCGCAATACCTTATCACTCGGCATCACAGAGGTTTAGGGGAGGTAGGTTCTTCCCCTCCGAAATAACTCCCCCACCGGGAACAGGAAAACGTCGTCAGCCATGACGTAGTGGGCTCACATGGCCGGGTCCTCATGTCTATCAATATTTGATCAGCCTGTTGGAGTAATTGTGGTAACTGAAAGAGTAAATAGCATATTTATGCCCGCCAAAATCGTGGCTGATGTCTATTTCCGATGTGTGACGCAGCCTTGACATCGCTTCCTCTCTCACCCAAAGAAACATACATATGTATCTTTGAATTCTTATCTTTATCCGGTAATTGCGCATGAGCAAATAGTTTCACAGGGGGAAATGCATTTTTTATTATATATTTTTTTTAACGGGTTTTAAATTAAAATAGGAAAAGGTTATTATGATGATATTTAAAGATTAAAACTTACAAAAAAAGTATATATAAAGGGTTTTTTAATAAGATTTTTTAGTTTATTTATTATTTTTCTTAGTCACATTTTCTTTTTAAGATCACAATCTGATCATTACAGCGTTCAAGGAATTTCTCTCTTGTTGCCTGCAGTATTCCCACTACTGATTACAGGGCTGAGAGAGAGAGAGAGAGTCAAAAAGAGAGCAAATAAAATTGTTTATAAACTCTTTGCACTATCGCCTGTTTACGTTTCGTTACAATGCATATTTTCTATTAGTTTTTCTTATTTGCCGTTCTTGATTTAGCTTCTTTTTACTGCTGTTGTTGCCGCCGTCTTGTTTATTGTTGCAATCAAAGTTGCACAGTGGTGCAAATATGGTTTGATGACCCAAATTCACCGGCTGCATCCCACTGTGATGTGTGGACCCTTTATCGACGACAGTGCCAGTGCCCTTGGAATGCAGCGAAGCATAAATACATGTGCCAATACAATTCAATCCAATCTCTCCCTATAACGTCAATGCTGTGGACTATTTTTAGCGGCTGCTATCACACGCAGACCCCATCGTGCGGAGATATGTACCATATAGATGTGTGTGTGTGTGTGTGTGTATAGGGACAATATACTCCTAACTAAACTAAAAGGCACGTGCCCTGCCCTCCACCCCATTTGACTATGCAACAAAAATATGACAAATTTTATGAGAAAGGATAGAAAGTTTTTGTTTAACAGAGAGTATTTTTTAAATTCAATTAAAATTAAATATAAGGATAATTTTAATATAGTCTACTCTGAATTTTAAGGAATTTTTAGCAATTTTATAACAATAAAATCTGGGAAATAATTTTACTATTAATACAAAATTAAAAGAATTATTATAAAAACTAAATAAACTTAAAATTACTTCTATATACATTTTTATTTATTTTTTAATTAATTTATTTAAAAAAAAAAACTTTAATATTAAAGTTATAGTACGTTAAATCCAACATTCTGCTTTGCATAGTGTCCAATCAATGGCGGAGAGCTGTAATCAATACTAATTATTTGCTATTATGATTACTCCTGCCGCACAAACATACGCACAACCAGTACACACACACACACCCTCCCACCAAGCTATGCATTACAATTGGAATCCGAGAATCTCTGGCGTTCTTATCAATTGTGTGCCATATAAGCAACTTGGGGTGCATTCAACTGGCCTGTGTTGCAAAAACTATATACAAACATATTGCTTATACAACTGCAATCAGAAAAGTAGTAAAATTATAGAAATAAATTTAAAATATATAAGCTATCTATAATGTTATATATTATAGGAAAGTAATTATTAAGAAAACGGTGATTTATGTTTTAAATTTAGGGCTTATATTCTTAAAATGAGATGGTGTAAGGCATTTTTTGCATTTTATAAATATTTTAGATCTTGTTTTGTGTAATTTGAAGCAAAGAAAAAAGCCTGGGTGGACATCTAATGGTTGTTAAGTCCTTAAATATTAAAAAAAAAAAAAATATTCTTTGGGTGTTGGTCAAGCTCTTGTTATAAAATTCGATGCCATGATGGCCTAAGATTTATTTTTAAAGCAGACCCCACTTTTTTAAGATCGATATTATATTGTTAACCACGGCTGTGCGCCAGCTGGCAAAGGCAATAGCTATGTAGCCATCCATCCATCCATCCAATATAGCAATGGCAATGTCCCTTAGGCGGTGGGCCCCCCCCTGGAGAGTGGAGCGGATGGAAGGCCGCAGAAGTGGAGGAGTGGAGGAGCAGCATAAAGCTGAGACTACGGAATAATATCGGCCGATTCTGGGTATGTGAATTGGGAATCGGGGCTCTGGACTTGTTGTTGTTTCTCTATTCGCGTTTTGCTGATAACATTTGCGCCTTTTGAGTGGCTTGGGGGTGATAACGATAATGACGTTATCGTCACAGCGTCATCGCTGTTCCAGCTAACTCGCAAAACACACACACACACACACACACTAGAGCGGGCGAACACACACTCGCTTAGATTTAATTTCATGCCATTTTAACACTTAATTAAGGTATAACATGAACACAAAAAAAAAAGCTAAATAATAATAATAAACAACAACAATTCGGCCCAGCTATCTCGCTTCGATACAGTACAGTCGAACTCCACGAAAGATGTTTGGTAACGCCGCCTCGACCCCTGTTAACATTAACAATTAAACACGAGAGTGCGAAAAGTAAACATAAACAGCAATAAAAGCACGCGAAAACATTTCAATTAAATTTTTCAGTTTCCGCTATATAATATATATGGGTTTTTAGGTAAGAGGCTTGACTGTATAGGGGAGGTTGGCTGATATTTGTTATTGTTTTTGCCTGGCTACGTGTGGGGCTTGCCCTTTTACCGTTAGCTGATAATAGAGTTGGCTCTCCCACGCTCGCTCTCTCCCTCTCTGTGGATTCTCTCTTTAATCGATCGAAGCTCTCTCAGCAGAGACAGAAAAATAGCATCTTAAAAAAATTACAACAAATATATAAAATATCTTGTAGATACGTTAGCCTTTTAAAAGAAATAATTTTTATCTCTATCTAAAAATTAGTTTTACTAACAAATATTGATGTTTATAAAATTTTTTTAATTTTAATTGATAGAAATAATATTTAACAATATTTCCCATTATTTTTCCCTGTGTGCTTTATTTGTTTTTAAAAATTTTTTGCCATCATCTAGCTCTCCCCCACATTATAGCTCTTTCAGGGCTGTAAAAATTGTAAACTTGATTTTGACATTACGAATCGTTTGTTCTATTTTCCTGCTTGTTTTATTTATTAAGACCCAACTGACGTCTTACGCATTTATGTGAATATTTTATTATTATTATTAATTGTTTGCCAAGCTCTCCCCTTTTTCTCTCTAGCCAGCGGCACATGTGCAAATATGTACCAAGCTGCCTGGAATAGTAGTAGAATTCGAAAGAGGAGTATCGGAACAGCAATACTGGCCACCTTCCTCCAGTTATTCAATATTCCGCATTGAACTTTGACTACTAAAATTAGCACAAAATACAAAACACAAACTGCGTCGCGCTTATTAACAAAGACAGCAAAAACTACTCACACTCACACTTCTACCTCCCAGAGGGAAGAGAGTGTCAAGTCGGCGAGCAATTAACAAATGTGCTTTTTGATTACTATTTTTTTTTCTATAAATTTACATAATTTTACGTGCAATTATTCGCACAGCCAAGAAATGCAGTCGCCCACGTAAATGGAATTTTGGAACAACAGGTGGTTCTTGGTGGGGCATTCACTACACTGAGGAAAGTGCATGCGTAGGAAAGAATAATATTGTCTAAAAAATATTATTAAAATGCTAAATATTCTAAATATTCAATCGGGTATACAAATTTTAATTTTATATATTTATATATTCAAATACAAAAACTGTCACAGCTTAAACGACTCACCTGACGATGCTTGACAAGGAATACCATTACTATATACAATAAAAAAAACCTCTGAATGTAGTTCTAAAGATAGAAAACCCCTTTTCTCTTTAAAAAGTTATTTCATTTTTAAAAACTCCATTTTTTTTCTGGACTTTAAAATCAAATTTAAGATTTATTTGAAACAAATAACTGTGTTATTACATTGAATATAATCTTATGGCTTATTCTCCTCGGGTTTTCTTAATTTCTCACGCGGTTTTTTCTGCTGTTGTTGATGAACCGGTATTGGTTTTTTTTTTATATAAATGTAATTATATATTACATACACAATTACTTACTTCATATATCGTATATAATAATAATAGTATAATTTATAATTAGCATTTCTCTCTCACTTAACTAGTATTATTATAATTCTTCAAGTTCTTTTTTTTTGTTTTATTTACGTGTAGATTTTAACACAAAACAGCAGAGACAAATGTATATATATATTTTGCGCGTTTCCCACATAAATTACATCTTTAAATTACATTTATATTTTATATATATTTTTTTTTCGTCGTTTTTATATATTTTTTGTGTCGCTTGTAAAGTTTTCGCGTTGTTTTTACCTCGTCTCTCACTTTAAGTTTAGTTTATAACTAGAGTTACATCGATAATTAAAAAAAGGAAATCGTTTTGTTGGGAGGGGAGTGGGGGGGCGGAGGCTTTATTAGCAAAAACATGCTTCGTTACTAATATTAACCATTTATCTTGTAATATAATATGTATAAGTTCTCGAATTAAATAAAACATTATTTTCACTTTGCACTTTTAAAGCATTCTTTTAAATTTAAGTATTGTTAATTTTTCTCTTCCCATTTTGTTGTTGTTACATTTATTAAGTAGATTTAGACTCAATGATTTGTGTGTGGTTGTGGGTCTTCGTATTATTTATAAACAGTAAGTATTATATCAAGGGTTTCGGGTTCAGGTTCTCAGGATCGCCTTATCCTAGCTATTTCCATTCTCCTTATTGTTGGTTGCTGGCCATAAAGCTTTCTTTGATTTGACTCTCTTATGTTTATTTTGTTACTTTTAGTTTAATAAAAAAAGATTTTGGAAATAAAAAAGGATTTAAGTAGGTTTCTGGCGGTATTTATAGTGTGGTTCTTCGATAGTTAGGTGTTTGGAAAAGGAGTTCGATTTCGATTTGTTTTGGAAAAAACCTATCTACTATTGTGTTAAAGATTTTGTAGAAAAATTCCTTTAGTTTTATCAAGTTTTTTTGTTTTGCTTTTGAGTTCGATTTTGATTCTTGTTTCGTAAAATTTGTCGGAGCAGCAGTTGAGCTGCACTTGTGCCTGGACTATCCACTATATATATCTTTAGCTATATATGGTTATATACTCGTTTAATTTGTGATACTGCGTTTATGTTGAAGAATAAGGGTGTTGTCTCGAATCTGTACATTCATCTATCTATCGCTTTTTGTATTCGAAATGTGTGTGGGTTCTCTGAAGACTTTGACAGCACTTTACACTGAGGGGATCGGTTTCGATATCGGTTTATCTTAAACACTAGTAATTGCTTCGACGGCACATTGGGATTATATATGTATATTTAGAAGTAAGGTAAAGGGCGACTTGTTTTAATAATTAGCTAGCTATATTTTTCAGGATCGAAAAGAAAAAGAAAAACTAAAACAAACGAACCGAAATTGGGGTCTGTGACCTAGAGATAGATGGCATATTATTTCCCAGGGATTCTATGGCTCAATGGCGTTTCTCTATTCTCGGTTTTCTGTTTTTTTGTATAGAGAATATAATTTTGGTCGTTGGTCTAAGACACTTTTTGGTTTCAATTCTTTCTATCGCTCTCTTTTTCCCCTTTAAATATTATTTGTTTTCTTTTTTATATACAGAAATTAGATCTTAAATATGTGTGTAAAATTGTATGGTGACTTATGTGCGTAGTTAAGTAAAATCTGAGACTCGCTGTAAAAAGTTTTTCGCTTTCGTTCAGGGGGTGCTTTAGGGATTTCTTTTTTTACTTTTTTTTGTAAGGAGGAAAGAGGGTGTAAAAAGACACTCAAGTACACTTAGGGGTTAACAAATGTTTTTTGCTTTTTTTATATTTTTCTTGGTTTTTTTTTGTTTTTTTGTAAGAGCTAGCTACGAAAGCACGGACGATAACGAGATAACAATATACGGGGGGCCTGTGTTTTAACTTTCATTTTCAGCATGATTTTGCGGAAGTGAACTTTAGCTTTCGATTTTAATTTCTGGACATTAAGCTGAATGAATCATTTAGGGTCCCATTTTGGCTTCCGCTAACTTAAAAATGGAAATCTCACCTAAAAGAAGAAGTTGCGCACCTCTTCGTCTAGGTCACTGGAGTCGACCAGGTCATCCATTACCCCAGACACCAGCAGCTCCACCACTTCCAGCTCCTTCTTGTCCTTGTCGCTAACTGTTGCTGCTGCCTCTGCTGCCGCTTCAACTGTTGTTGCTGCCGCTGCCTCAACTGTTGCCGGTTGGTCATCCGATCCTAGCAGCTCCTGGTAGGTATCCTCCAGCAGCACACCGCTCTCAATGGCCGCAACAGCCTCCTCATAGTATCAGTTGAGGTCGCGTCGAAAACTATCCTCGATATTGGGATCAGCAATCATAATGGGATTCTGGTCGGAGAGCATCTGCAGACCGGCCACATCCATTTGGCCCAGATCCAGGTCCAGGTTATCGAAGATTTCACGCGAAAAGTCCGCATTGGAGGAGTAATCACTAAAGATAATCGAGGGTATATTCGCTGTGGTCGGCGTGTGACTCTGCGAGGATCCCTGATGATGATGGTGGAGTTGTTGCTGCTGCTGTTGATGGTGGTTCATCACCACATTGTTGGAGTTGGAGCAGGCATTGTGACTCACTGGCGAGCTGCTCGAGAGCGGCGAGTTCCCATGGTGCGGCGAATGCATGGGCGAATGATGCGGAGAATGATGCAGTGATAAGGATAATTGCTGCTGCTGATGAAGCTGCTGTTGTTGTTGCTGCTGCTGATGATGATGATGATGCTGGTGGTGCTGCTGCTGGTGATGATGATGTTGCTGTTGCGGCGATCCTTGTGCCGACATGGGTATAGGCAGCGGTGAACTGGGACATCCTAAAGGTGAGGGAATAGGCGATGCTGTGATACCCAAAGGATCACCGCCACCCGAGTTCGCACCACCACCACTACTGCTACTATTATTGTTCCCCGCTCCATTCAGATTTGTGCTGCCATTGTGCGTCGATCCCACCACGCCGTTGCTCAGCCCGTTGTTGTTCAGGTTGCTCACCTGACCGCGTCGCATATTATTGTTGTTCCCACTCGCTTCTGGACTGCCGCTCAGCTCGCCAAAGTCCAGCAGCTCCTGTTGCTTGTTGTTGTAACCGTTGGTCAGGCCACCACCGCCATTGCTACCAGAGCCACCGTTTCCATCGGCGCCACTCAGCTCATCAAAGTCCAGGGCCACATAGTTATTGGCAAAGCCCTGCTGCTCGGGAGAGGAATTGCTATCGCCCAGCGAGAAGATCTCAAACTGATTGTGAAACGAGGTATTCAGACTGTTGTAGGAGGCATCGAACTGGTGCGCCTGCTGCTGCTGCTGTGCCTGTTGCTGCTGCTGTTGTTGTGCCTGTTGCTGTTGCTGCTGGCGTATTGGACTAGCCGGAGCACTCGAGTGCAGATCCGTGGCCGAGACACTGCTAAGCAGGCCGGGCGAGGAACGCGGACTAGGCGGATTCGGTGGCTGGCGGTAATCGGTGGCATTGTGCGGTCCCAATGTGGGCAGCGGGTTAAATGTGGAGCCCGCCGCCTGCGTAGTGGCCAGATTGGTAAAGGACAGGTGCGGCGAACTGCTGGGTTGCTGCTGCTGCTGTTGTGTGTTGCTGGTGGGCGAGTGCTGCTGCTGGTGATAAGGTGACCCGGGACCGGCTCCTCCTCCCCCCGCCGGACTAAACGGACTGGGCGATTGATCCCTTTCGCGACGATGATTGTGCGGTGACATGACGGGCGATAGAGTTTGCTGCAATTGCTGTTGTTGCTGCTGCTGTTGTTGTTGTTGCTGAGGTTGCTGTTGCTGCTGTTGTGGTGCATAATTCTGCAGCGCTGTGAGATCGGGCAGGGAGCCGGTATTGGCATAACTAGCCTGATCCTGCAGCGGTCGGAACAGCGAGTTTGGGAATTTGGCGTTATTGTATGACGTTGTGTGCTGCTGCTGCTGTTGTTGCTGTTGCTGCTGGTGTTGTTGCAGCTGCTGCTGCTGTTGGTGCTGTTGCTGCTGCTGCATTTGGAGTTGCTGGTGCAGCTGATGCTGCTGCTGCATCTGTTGTTGCTGTTGCTGGAGCTGCTGCAACTGCAACTGATGTGGCTGAAGCAGCGGTGACTTCCTGCGCTGCGCCTGCGGACTAAAGCTCCTGCCTATCGCATGGTGCGGCGAGTGAGATCGTTGCTGGACCGGCTGCTGATGCTGCTGCTGTTGCTGCTGGTAGTAGTCCGTGTTGAAGCCCGCCTCCGCCACGCTTTGATGCAGGGCCGAGTCTGAGCTGGAGCGACGCCACAAGCTGTCCGCTGTGGGCGGTCCAAGAAGATGCGGATTGGGTTGGCCATTGTCCAAAGTCTGCTGCGTGCTGCTGTTGCCATACGGCGAGCGATCTTGTTTGCGCTCTGAGGGTCTCCTCATGGGTCCCACACCCACGCTGCGTCCACGGGACTCGCGATAGGCGGTTGGGGAACCACCACCACCGCCTGCTACGCCATCTGGCGAGGCACCGCCTCCACTGGCTCCGCTGCCAGACCCACTGCCGCCACCGCCGCCTGAACCGTTGCCCGCTCCTGGCGAGGCTTGGCTCACCTCCTGACCGCCACCCAGACACTCTAGGATCTTCTGGTTAGCCGGCGGTTCGTCTCTCTTTGTGGCATATACTTCCTTCATGATCCGCTCGAATTCCGCAGTGCCCTCCGCCTGCTTCTGCTTTTGCAGCGCAATCTTTTCACTGAACTTGCGCGGATTGGCCATTGTGGAGGATGTGTTGTGTCTGCAGGAGGAAGCTGTTTAAATATATTTAATAATATAATTAATATTTAGAAAATAAGATTAAGATTAAGAGTTTAAAGAGGGGTTTGGGGTATCGTTTTGCTTTTGCTTCCAGGTTTTTAGGTAAAAAGAAAATAGTGGAGATTGGAAAATCTATATTGTGAGTTTCTAATTTAATTAGCAAGTTGTTGAGACTTTTCTTTGTTGGCACATTTTTATATTTATTAGTTACTAGGCGGGAAGTTATTTAACTTTATTTTATTAAATAAAAGTTAAGCTAGTTTAAATGTAAAAAAGTAATCACTATATCATGATATTTCATAAAAAAAATACCTGCCTACTAATGTAAAACCTTAAAATATGTCACAAAACGTAGGTATTCCCACTCTATTCTCCTCAACCCCTGACAAAGTGAAGTCGCCAATCTGTTGCCATAAGCTCTCCCGTTGCCCATCTCAAGGCATTTCCGCTCCCTGGTCCGCCGCACACCTTTTATACCCCCACCATTATCTGCCGCAGCAGAAAGGGCATGGAAATGTTTTGTCAGGGGGAGGCCAACCATCCCAACCATCCCAGTAGTACCTCAGTTACCTTCCCCATTTGTGTGTGTGCGTGTGTGTTGCCTTCTTGTTTTATCAATTTGTCAGCCGCTCGCTCGGGCTTGCTGCTGATAAGCCAGATACAGATACAAAACAGTTGCCGTCGCCTGTCCGAGTCGGAGAATTCTCATTTCGCATTCGGATTCCCAGTCAGAGTCCCATTCCCATTCGCGTTCCCTTTCCCACATTGCGATTCCGATTTGGGTTCGGATCTAGATACGCTGTGCGTAGTAATGTTTGCCCGGTTGGTTGTCGCTTTCAATGCCATTGCATAACGAGTGTCATATGTACGAACATGTGTACATATGCGATATATATCTCGCCGACTGTTCAAAAAGGGCGGGAAAAAAAGTATAGCGACGGCGACCAGGGCAAACAACAAGTTTTTATGGGTCTTTGAAACGGACTCTTTCTCTTACTGCTCTGTCTCTGGGTTTCTGTTTGGGTTCAGTCGTTGCACTCAAAGAAAAAAGCTAGTTAACCTGAGATATAACATAGCATTATCCCTTCTTATCGGGGGTTTGCTTAATAAAACTGGGAACATTAATAAATTTATACAAATTAAGACACAGATTTGACTTCAATTCGATTATCATCAGTTAGTTATTTAGTTTATTGCAATATTTAAAGGTTTTAAAGTTCATTTTATAGAGAAATCTTTTAAATCTATATAAGTTCTTTAATAATTAACCAAAATTTATAAGATCTTTTTTGAAAATATTCTTTTGAAAACGTTCCCTTTAGTTTGCTTTTTTCTACAAGTGTTCTCTGGGTTCTGTTTGGGTTTGGGGTTCAGTCAATAGGTTCTTGAGAAGGGGGATTTCTTGAGTCGGTTTTTTTTTTTTGCCACCTGCAGCTGCATTATGCAAATGCCGCGAATTGCGTAGCAAACGAAATAATCTTTTTTTTTTGTTTTGTTTTTGCCTTGCATTAATTTATTCCGGTTCCGTGGCAGTGCAAAGTTGAAGCTTTCGGGCTTGTTTTTGTTTTTTTTTCCCCTTATACATGAAGGGCATTTTTCTTTTTGTAACAACTTTTGGCCACGCTCTCACTAAAAAAAATATTAAAGAGACGCTGTGCGGATTATGCTCCAAATATTCGAATCATCGACTTGGGCTTGGCCCCTAGACTAAAACCATAAACCAGTTCCGCAGCTTGGCGACAACTTTTCGATCAGTTTGGAACGCTGATCGCTCACAAAAAAGATGATGATGATGATGATGAGATACGAGATGCGAGATACTCGTATGATGATGCGTTGACAAAGGCCCCAAAAAAAAGGTGGGCAAAGATCGCTAAAACAGCAAACTAAGCAAATCTAACACTCGACTTTAAACACAAATCAGAAATCGGTCTTTATCTTTAGCAAAGACATAAGAAATATGGGTTGCCGGATGGGTTATAGTTCTTATCAAATAGAAAACCATATGTACATACAGTTAAAGAAATTGTACTCGTTATATTTTAAACAAAAAAACTATTCCGAAGTGGAATAAATTATTACAATAATTTTTATAAATTATCTAAATATTTTATATATATATTTAAATAAGAGATCAAAGATATTTTTGGAATTATTACTTTTAAATCTTAAGTACCAAAGTCTAAGCTTATTTAGTTATTGATAAAAAGCTTTCCATATTTTTAGAATTTTATGGTGAAGCATTTTTAAGTATTTTTGGCGATTGTATTTGGTTTGATAAGGCTTTAGCGTTTATAACTTTATAATAACTGAATATTTATTTTTTCACAAATTTATAAATCGCTGACAAACTCTATAGAAATGTTGAAAATGTTGGGAATTTTCATAGTCATTAAAAAACAAGGAATTCCCAAACCGCCAAATCAACTATTTCCCCAAGTTCCCACAGCACCTAGTTCAAGCTCATTATATCAAAACCATTAGCTAAGTTAACCTTATTGATTTCTTGGTCATCGATATAAAAAAGAATAGCTCAATTAAATCGATTAAGGTTGTTCCATACAGGTTGTAGCCTTATTTTCTCAGCTGTTTTCAACGCATAATTTTCCCCAAGACAGGGGAATCTGACTGAAGTTCTGTTACAATTCATCAATACAATTATTTACTCGAGACTTTCTTAGAACTCATAGCGTTAGAAAAATTTGTTGGTTATAAGCACAAAAAAAAAGATACTAAATTGTTTGTATATTGTTGTGGACGTGTTAATTCTAGCTAAATGCTGACACATCTTAGATACGGGAATCTTTACCTTACTTTATATTGAGTGTGAAAACATCGCATAGTAATTTATTTACTTGATAAGGTTTGCAATAAGTAACTTTTTTTAAAAAAGTTTTTAACTTTACAAACTTTTTTTAATATATAATTCAATTTAAACTAAGCTTAATTGTGTCGTCTAAAGTTTCTTTAAGATTGTTAATTTCTTCTCAATTATTTGCTTAATTTATAAAGCCTCCTTAAGCTATAGTTCCAATAAATCTATCCTTTTACAGGCAGTTTGTATTCTTTGTCAATTACCCAAATGGGTTCCTTAATTCACATTCAAATGAGTCTCTCGCCCAGTCACGCATCGCAGCCATCTCTCTGGCAAGCTCTATTTGATGAGTAATTCCCCCACCTGATATCGGAAGTGTAAGACCCATTATGGCTTAAAGGCAATGCAGCAGGTGAAAAATGATGGTAGAATCTGGCGGGGATTTGGAATGCGGCTCACATTTTTCGACACACTGCCGGCAATTGTGGCCATAAAAAGGCGGAGCACGCCTCAAAAACTAAACAAAGGTAGGTATTAATAATTTTATTTACTGGGGAGTGTGGGGTACAATCTTTTGGGGGAGGGTTGGCTATGTGCCCCGAGCGGAAATATTCCCACGAATCGATAATGAAATTTAATAAATATTTAAAATGGTATATATTGGTAATATTCAAAGAATAAATTTGTCAAATGAGAAGAGATTTGGAATAAATTTGTATGAGAAAGCCAGAAAGGGTACGTGCTTGCTTATAATTCTCAACTAATTATTCATAACCTTATACTAAATAATGACCTGTGGCTTTGTTATTGCATTACATTAAGATGTACGTTCTTTGAAATAAGTTATAGATCTTAAAATACTATTTTAACTATTTAATAAAAATTATATAAAGAAAAATATTCCCCTTTAAAAAAATCCTGCTTCCGCCCCTGCATTACTGCGTCTTCCTTTATCGGCAACTCTCTTCTGCTCCTGGGAAAAGCTTATCAGCCTGACTTTTTGGAATTTTTGAATAATTTCCGATGTTTGTTTATTTATCGCAACAGTTGCAAAAAAAAAGGGAGGGGGCAAGGGGGGAAAACATTGGCAGAATTGCGTGCAAAGCAAAGAGGCGGCAAAAACAAAACGAACTTGCGGGAGGGTGGGAAAGGGTGGATGGGTTTACTTACAACAAAAATTCCTTTGCTCTCTCACTCTCTCTCTGAATGTTGCTCCCGCTCTCGGCTTGCTTGATTAAAATCTCGTATAGAAGAATTTAATTTTTTGGCGCTTTTTTGTTGCTGTTGTTGGTTGCCGCTTGCCTTTTGCGTTTTTTGCGTCGCCTGATAAAACCAGATTTTGATTTTGAGTCGGCGGCAGTTGTGTGATTAAATCCGAAATTATTTTAACAACTGATGTTTTTTTTTTCTTTCTGTTGTTGTTTGCTCGCTCTTACACACCGACACAAACACACGCACACACCTGCACACGCGCACGCACACTCGGGCAGGGACAGGTTTATTGTTTTAACGCAGAACTGCGACGTTGTTTTTTATTTTTTATTCTAAACTTTTTTTTTTGTGTGGTTACCGCATGAAGTGAAAAACTTTTGTTGCGCCTTTGACCTCTTTTTCACACGCACACACACAGTCGCAAATACACACACACACGGCTCCCAATTGGGATTACAGCACGCAGCAGCAGCAACAGCAGCGGCGGCGGCTGGGGCTGGGGTGGCTGGGGCGGCCGTTTCTATATTGCATTTCCTTGATTTCTATATATTCTTTGCTCCGATTTTTTGGCTTTTGTTTTTCACACTCACCAACACACTCGCAGGCACACAGCCGCAGAGAGGCAGCAGAATTCTTATAAGCACACACACACAGGCACACAAATAGGCACGCGGGCGGGCGTGCGGGGGGAGCCACAGAGATTGGGAGATTTTACAGTTTTTTACACTTCTTTTATTATTATTATTATCGTTTTCGCGTTTTTTAGTTATTTCTATTATTGCTTCTGCTTCTGCTGCTGCCGTCCTTCTTCTTCTTCGCTCATCTTCGACGTACTGCTGCTGGCGTTTTTCTTTTCACGTTTCTGTTACGTTGCCCGCGTTTAGCGCAAGCTTGCCTTTGTCGCGTGTTTCGTCCCCGAATTGCGCTTTGCGTTTTTCACGGTTTTTTGCACGTTTGTTTTGTTATTTTTCCACTTTTGCACACAGAAATGATAAATAAAAATAATACTCGATTTCAGTGACACTACTCGATCAAATGCAATATCGAATAAAACAATCGAGTGAACCATCGATTGTTATTCGTAGTTCAATAGTGTTGAACAACGCCACCTGCTATTCAGACACAAGATGGCGGCAGGTTGAAAGAGACCTCTAGCGGAAGTAAACAGACATTTAAAAAATTGAACGTTATTTTTGAAAAGTAAATTTTTACGATTTATTTAATTCTTAAAACTCAACTATGTATTGAATGAAATCGAAATGTGCAGTGTAGTTTTCTAAGCAACTATGTTTAAATATTTACATTGTTATTATTGTTTTATTTAATAAATTACGGCTTAAATATTTTAAATTTTAAGTTAAAATTAATACCTCTTTGTGTTTTATTTGTGCTTTTATTATTCTAATAAAAAATTATATTCTTAAATCTATTATGTTAATATAATTTGATACGCATTTTCCCGAAAACTGTTACCTAAAATCCATTAAAGGAATTATCCAACGTTTATTGACCTGCCGTTTTTCTTATGAAAAAGTTGTTTGTACATAGAAACCAAAGGGGTGAGCGAAAAATCCGATTAAAGCCCCCCCCACGCGCCACCCGCTAATTCATTTCAATAATTGAGCACCTTTTCGACTGCCTTTCGACTGGCCGCTTTTTCATTGCGGAAAAATGTGGTAGAAGGCGGACACGAACGGAACGGGAAAGGGCTCTATTAGTTCTGACATTCATTTGACAGTTTGACGAATGAATTATGTACACAAAAGGGGCACAAATATTTATGAAAGAAATGGATAAAATGCGGGAAAATATGGTGAAAGAAAGTGAAGTAATAGAAAAGGGTACACTATGGAAATTAAGGAATATTTATTGTTACTAATTAAAATTGTATGTACATTTTTCTTGACTATTGAATAATTTTAAGGGTAAGTATTTAATAACACATAGTACATTCATCTACTAAACACTCACCATCATTATTTTTATGAGTGTAGGAAAATGGAAAATGGTTAAATGGTTTCAAAACATTTCTATTTACAATTATTTGATTACTTCTTTGTTTTTTAGACTGCCTTTTGATGTATAATCAAAAGGCAGTCTAATTTTTGTTTTTAAAAGTAAAGTATAAAAAACAAAGAAGTAATCAAAACTTTACCCTTAAAATATATTTTTTTCCAAGTGCACTAAAACCTTAAAGTGGACAAGAAAACACGGAAAAGTGGTCAAAAGAAAATTGAGGGGTAAAAAAAAAGAAATATACAGAGCGATTTCTATCGCTTGCACACAATTTAGCTCCGTTTCTTTTCCAACTTCTTGGCCTTCTTCATGGCCTTCTCTGGGCCTGGCTTCCACTTTTTCCCCATTTCTCCTTGTCGGTCCCTTAAATGTCTTCGTAACCCCGAGGCCGCCAATTTGCTTCCAATTCCTTGCTTCAAGTGTCTGCAAAATACGAAAATTTTCGCAGTAAAGAGAAAAATAAGGGAAAAGGGCAAGGGAGAGAGAGCGAATGGGAAAGAAAGAGCGCGAGCTAGCAAAGATTCGTATCGAGGAAAACAATTTTAAATGGCGCACACAAAATGCCGGAAACCAGACACAAAATGTTAACGGAAAGGGAAACAGACGTTTACATACACACACAGGCACACCAATTGCTATTTGAATGTGTTAGTTGATGCAATTTAAATGCCACTAAAAAGTTATAAGGAAATATATTATAATTTGATTTGTTTTAGGTTCTGAAGGGATTTCAGAAATGTTATTTTGTTTATTAGATTGTTTCATAAATGATATTTAATAACTTGTAACCAATTGAAATTGTTGTCCAGTGTGGGTTAATCCTCATTTTCTGCTAGAACTAGTTGGGAATTATAAAGACATTTTTTTGTACTTATGTATAACATTTTTTTAAATTTTATTAAAAACTGGATTTCTTTGTTTTTAAAACATTTAAAAAGCTTTAATAAAGTTAAATATAAATATCATAATTGTTTTAAATATTTGATATTATTAATTTATATTATAATTATTTTTTTTATATTATATTATTAAGTAAACTCTATACCTTGGTTACTTTTCTCTAATTAAACTAAATTACCCAAACCTAAAGCACAAGTTCATTGTGATTTAATTCCATTACAAAACCTATCCAATTACACTATTTCCAATTTGTTAATGACTGCCCTTAGGTAAACAGATTTTATTACCTATTTTTCGTTAGCAAGTACCACCATTATCAATGTTATTTTCGTCTGATGAGCAATCGAAACCAAGCGCAGCAACAATCTCAATGAGTGGGCGCTGTTTAATTAGACAAACAGCTCTTCACATTTAACGCATATTAATTTTCAACTACGCTATATTATTACCGAACTTTGCCTCCAGAGCATTGACTGCCAAAAAAACAATTTATCAGCGTTTTGCTCCTGGTTTCTTATCATTCGATATCGATGTTGTTGCGAATGACGCCCCCGCAGCTACGAAATCAAAGTACTTGACTTTGTATTGGCTATATTCAGGCATTGATTTCTCACATTTCAATCAGAGTTCTAGTCACTTTTTTTCTGGTAGTACTTCCCAAGTAAATCAGTCGAGCGTTTGCATTTTTCGAAGGCAGACACAGAGCAGTAACAATTAAAACCAACGACCGATTGGAGGCACCATTTAATGGTATACAACCGAGTATCCTCAGCTGAAACGTGTAGTAAAAAAGATAGCCAGAGCTGTGAAATTAAATTTTATTTCAAAAACGCTTTCACATAACAACAAAGATAGCAGATACAACACACACAACAAATATTAATGGGTGAAATTGGAAACAGAGAAACGGAGATCTGCCACTGACAGGGGGCAGGTTAACAGAAATACAATTTGCCTCTGCCGAATGGCAATTTAATTGCTGAAAATATTTAGCACTCAATTTAAATTTAGCCACAATAGGAAAAGGTCTGGAAGGTAAATATAAATTTGCTATTTTATGTACATATTTATTAGTGCTTCATGAAAGCAATTTGAATTTATTTTTCTTTTATTTATTTGTTGTGTGTGTTCTTGGGTTGTGTGTATGTTGATTGATAAGCTTTTAGTAGATTAGTTTTTTAGATTTTGCCAGATTTGGGATTTACCCAGACCTTTGAGTGCTTTTGTCAAGTGATTGATTAGAAAAATAAATCTAAATACAAGTAATCAATATAATTTAGAGCGATTTAAAGTCATTTATGGCCTTGTAGACAAAGGGGAAAATAAGCAGTTTAAATTTAATTATAAAAGCTTAAGTATTTAAAGGAAATGTAAGGTTTTTAAATTTTTTAAATAAATTTCAGATGAAATTCCCCTTTACCTAAATTCCAAATTACAAACTAATTGCACTTGCTAGCATATGCACTTGTTCCTTGATGCCTTGTCCGCCCCTTTGTGCTCATTATCTCATCGTCCTGTTTGCTGATGTTGCTACTCCTCCTGGTTTCCTGCGATTTTCTTTCTTTTCCCAACTCGGTTTGTTTTTTTTTCGCTTGCCACAAAGACAAAATAGCAGTTGCAGATAGAGACAATTGAGTGTGGGTTCAAAAGCAGGAAATGTTTTCCTTGTTTTGTCTCTGCTTTTGCGCTCGTTTTCCATTTCACATATCCTTTTCACAGGAGGAGGAGCTGCTTTTCAGCTCTGCTCTTCTCTTCGCCCATTAAATGGCGCGTTAAGCGGCAAAAGAGAGCAAAAGTGAATTGCACTCTTTAAGCTGCTTAATTGTTGCCAAATACTCGTGGAATTTTCACGCAGACACTGAGAAATGTATCTTTTAGAAGATGTTTTTAATGTAAAAAGTAACTTTTATTGAACTTGATTTTATAAATGTTATAAATATCGTATAAATTATCTGGAATATCGATAAATTCGATATTTTAAACCCTTTAAATTTTGACGTCAATATCGATTTTTTTTTAAATTTCTTGTAACTTTTTCATAAATAACTTTATTGTAATCAATTTTATTTTAGATTTTATTTCCCTGAAGAAGATTTTAGAAATTTTCCCTGTGCTGACACTGTAGTCTTAAACTCTTCAGCAAACTTAAGGATGATGCCGGCTCATAAATCTTTAGCCGCCGCCATTCAAATTGCTCAATTGATGGCACTGAACAATGGCTGCCGATGCGATGCCGGGGCTTTTGATGGCCGAGGCCAATGGATTTTCCTACATTTTCTCGCATTGTGCAGCTGTCTGTTTAGCGGGAGGAAAAATTGAGAGAATGGAGCAGCATCAGCAGCAGCAGCAAAAGGGCACATAGGCAAGGGAGTTGGGCGCGCTGAAGCGTTAATAAGCCTTGCAAAAAAACACACACAATGTGGCATGCAATCTATGCTGGTTGTCAGTCTTCTCAGAAAGCAGCAACTTGGGGTCAGCGATGGGCAGATTGGTAAAGAGATCTAACCCATATGCCTGTTGAAATGTGAAAATTTTATATTAAGAAGACTAAGAGATTTTACAAGGAAATTATAGTAAAAAAATATTAAACTATGAAAGCTAATTTACCTTGAAAGCAACACTAAAAACCTGTGAATAATTAGCTAACTAAAATATAAGTTAAATGAAAAAGTATTTTAATTTATGAATGAAATTTTAGTTCCTTTCAAATAAATTGAATATTTATTTGTATAATTCATATTTTTCTGCTAAAAAGTCATATTTTGTGCTCCTAATAATGTGCTAATTAAAGGCTTAACCTCAACCTGTTTATTAATTATGTCTAGTGACGCAAATTCTAAGGTGTTAATTAAATGTAAATTAAATAAAATCAACCAACAAATTCTTCAATAAATTGAAAGTCAATAAAAAAAGTTAAATATTTTCTTAAAGCTTTAAATTTGTAACCCAATGATCATTTTTTTAAATAAATAAATAACTTGTTAGTTAGTAAAATAAAATTGATACTGTATACTTTTGAAGGTAACCCAAGAACTTGGTTAACTTCTCCTTTGCCTATCCTCAAATAAATTGACGTAATAAAGGCCAGCGGCAGCCAAAGGCCAAGTAACAGGAAAGGATTTTCCCCTCTCTCTCTGAACCCCAGGACCTTTTGTTTCGTTGTTTATGCGCCTAGACAATTGCATTTTACTCCTTTGTACAATGCTGGCCTCGTCTTCATTGTATTAATAACTTGACGCCGCCTGAATTGAAAGCAAATTTTCTAATCCTTCGTTGCAGCCTGGCAGGATGGCTGGATACCGTAGGAGTCCTCAGCTGCAGCTATATGCACTCCTGGTCCTGTTTGTCTCGGTGTTTGCTTCATTACCAGGCGAACTTCAAGAAGCAGCAGCAGGAGGTGAATCAAGAATGGATGTTCTAGGACTAACGCCGGGCCAGAGAGTCCTGGCTGCAGTGCCAGCATCGGGTAAGCTTTGAATTTGTCATCAGTGTTGGTTATATGGGTTGCTAGGGTTGTTAATTCTAGGTTCTTAAAAGAAGAGATATATTAGAAAACAAGTCTAAGAAGGTTTTAAAAAATATATAATTAACTTTGTGGCTAATTCAATATTTATTTCCCAAAGTAAAACAAATATTAAAGCTTTAAAACACTTTCGGGTCTTTTAAAATATTAATTTTCTACTAGATAAAATATTTATTATTTAAGTGTATTTAATTTTATATTAGAACATTTGTATTTCCTTTTATTCCTCATCACTAACGTCTGCTTTTGTGACTCTATAAATTCTCCTCTTGGTTTTCCAATTAGCTTTGTTTATCACGCATACGCACTGTGGTCTCCGCTGGAGTGTCACCTGGAGTGGCAGTGGAGCGGAGAGAGCATACCGAGCGGGAATGTCAACGTATTCTTAATTGGTATTTCGTTTTCCACCTACATTTAGTTACGCCAGCTCGCAATCAGCGCTTTTTCCTAGTTCTATTTCCATTCGTATTCCCATTCCAAGCCCCGTTGAGATCCCGAAAATAACTCAAGTGTCACGCTCTAAGCTCACCACGGCGACGCTTCAAGAAGATGCGACCTAGGGGAGCTTCAAGCGGTGGGAAAGGGTTAAGAAGGTGAAAGAGAAGGGGTTAAGGGTCGTGTGGGTGAGAAAATAGTGAAGAGCAGGTTTAACTATCCTGAGGAACTGTAGGTTTTTTCAAAGTAAATGAATTTCAAATTCATTTAAAAAGTATTTTTCTATTTAAATTTAAACATCTCCTTTTATAATATATATTTTTTAAATATCCCTATCTCTGTTATATAGTTAATACTGTAACCTTTATCACTTACTGAGCATTTTGTGTGACACTATTATCCCGCTGCTTCTTCTCCCCATTTCTCGTCAGTCTTCAATTTTGAGTTGCACTCGTGCTGCTTGTTTTTTCCGCTCCTGCTGGTAGTAGTCGACGACAATCGCTATATCCGCTTGTTGCCTGTGTGTGCCAGTTGCTTTTAGTCCTTGTGCAGCGCCCCAGGCCCAATCCTGATTCCATGCCTTGCCCGCATCCTCTATCCTTGGTTCTTAACCGCCTGCAAAGCTTCCGTTGCAACGAGCGTTGCAAGCGGCATTTGATGTCGCTGGTGTCATTTGTCACGCGTTGTCGCTGTCGTTGTTTGTTTGTTTACCGATGCGTTGCTCCTACTTGCTGCTGCTGCTGCTGCTGGTGGTGTTGCTAATGTGGCTGTAGTTGCTCGTCTCGCGTTGTCAACGCAGATAGTGAGACGTGCACAAGGAAAAATGGAAGGGTAAAGGTGAATAAAGAAATTAGTTTTTGAAAAATGTACTAAATTTAGCTTTAAATTTAAAGGCAAGGTCACACTGGGATATTATTTGTTAGCTTACTTGTGGTCACACTTGCATAACTTGTAAAACTTTCATTAAAAAAGTTTCAGATGCCTTTATTCTGTTTTTTTTTAAGCATGAATATTTTGAGAAAGATTTATCTTTATAATTCTAATTATTATAATTTTTAGATATTTTTCATTTAACATTTTTCTTGCTGTTTTTTTTCGTGTCCATGTGTTTGGGCCAAGTTTATTCTTGGCATCATTAAGCGCCGACGACAACACTTAACACATATTGTTGCCATCCACTGGCCGTGCTCCTCCTTGACACCGTCTCCTCGCGCTCTCGCTCTCGCCTGTCCTCATCCTTTTTTCCTCTTCCGCCTGCCCACTCCACACAATTGAGGATAAGTAGTGCCAAATGCCGGGGAAGCCATTAAAATGCAAATTTCTAGTGGTCACGTGATGATGCTGCACGCTTGGCCCACATAAACACAGCGCAAAATAAACAACTAACAGCGGCCAAGAGCAGCCAACAGTGGAACAACCAAAAACAACAGACACTAACTCAACACCAGGCACTGCATCATCGGCGACGCTTTCGCTTTTTATAAAAAGAATGAGATTGTCCTCACTTTGTTTTGGCCTTTTCCGCTTTTCCTCTTTCGCTTTTCCGTTGCCATTTGCTTGCTTTCCATTTTGGTTGCCTGACATTTTGGGTCAGTTGTCTCATTTGTTTTCCAACCGCCGCTTTTCCTTTTTCTTTTTTTTTTTGGGGTAATTTTAAACTTTAAAATGTGTGATTTATTGCCGCGTTGCAGCGACAACTTTTTGCGGTGCGTTAAACATGGCGTATGATTAACGTCAACGCGGCGTATGCGTAACGCGCACTCCTGCCAGCAGCACTTAGCGACAGACGATCAAAGCTGCTGCGGCACAAAAGTAAAAGCAAAAGCAAAACGAAACGAAACGAAGAGAAAAGTTATTTCGCCAAAGCGTTTCTGAACTGCAGTTGGAAATTAGTTTCGAGCGACAAGCTCACAAATCGCACAACAAGTTAATTAAATAACTTTGCGAAACGGAAGTGGGAAAATGATTGCAAAATTAATCACAAAATATGAAAGATGTCGATAAGTTTATGGCATAAACTGAAAATCACTGAACAGTTCAATGATTTTTGGGCTAAGTTTAAGGAATTGATTAACTCAACAAAAAACTGAAAAAATTTAGAATTAAAATTTTTAAATTTCAAGTAAATAATAATAATAAATATATAATAAATTAATACTAACAAAAATCATAAATTAATAATAAAATTTACTATCAACAAATATTGATTTAAGCATTAAAGAATTTAAATAAAAAATAAATTATTTGCATAATGCTCTTATTTACGCCTCATATTTTTAAGCAAGGTCACACTGATGCCTATGAGAGAGTAATATTAATTTTAAATAGCAAGGCCACACTGGTAAAACTTTTTAAACGGAACTTCAAGGAATTTTAGTTTGCATTTCAAGTTAAAACTTATGAATACATAAAAAAAGGACACATTATAATAAATTAATGTATTTTGTACATTACCTTAGCCCAGAAACATCATTAATCTTTGATTAGCCTTATTTTTATGTTCATTTTGTATTAACCCATTGAAACGGAAATTAGAAAGTCATTCCCAGCTGAATGATATTACCTCCATAAAAAAACGAGAACCCTTTTCAGAGGCCTTGTTTCCCCCCATTTTTACCCCAGGTGAGATTGCCAAGCACTTTGATTTCTTTCTTTGATTTCTTTCTTCGATTTCTTTCCTTCGACTTGATGTTTGCCTTAAATGTCAAATTGATGGCCAGCTGCCATCGACATAATGCCAACGATTTGAGCCCCTCTTTGGAAATTGTCTAATGACTGCAACTCGAGTCTCTCTTATCAAAGATTCATGTGCACATTTGCCAATCACCTTGACGAGCGGATCGCATTTCCCTCTCCAGTTTTTCCTTAGCCACTTTTTCACCATTTCCTGTACGTATTTTCTGTGGCAATTGCACTTAACTGACAGTAAGTAGCTAGTTGAACTCAAACAAAATGCTTAGCGCACAATCCGAGAACAAAACAGAGCTCAAGGAGGCTTCAAAAGACTCGAGTGCTTTGGGGTTTTAGATGGAGGACAGCTTTTGGAGTGTTTTAAAATTAAATTTCTAGCTAAGACCAGACAGGAAAAAAATAAGGAGAAAATAAGAGAGAGAGAGCTGTGACACTGGGAGAAAGGAGTTAAAGGTTTAAGAAGTGGTTTTTTAAATTATAAAAAAATTTAAAAACAATTTTTAGTTTGTTTTCTAGTTAGAAATAATAATTTTAAGATATAAATATTGTTTCCTTTAAATCAACTAAACAGCTATTTTAAAATCCTTCAAGTTTAAATTTATATACTCATTTTTCCAGTACATTTTCATCACCTCTTCCCTATTTTTTTTCTCCTTGTGATTACAGGACGCGTCAGTTTTTTGCTTTACCAATTAGCTTCGGCCATAAATTCAGCCGCCGACGGCCTGCAGGAACAAGTGGAGGTGGAAGTGCTGGAGGATCGGGAGCAGTTCCTGGCCACCAACCCGGATCCCAACTGGCTGGTCGCCATGGCCACTGAGTTTCAGGTAAGGGAGAACTCTCTCTCTTTTTCCCAAAGATAACTCCTGCCAACATAAATCACGCTGTGTTGTTGCTGCTTAACTTTTGGCATCGTGTTCGTTTCGTTTGGTTTCTATATTTTTTTTTTTAACTTTCGCCCCGGATATCTGTCAGAGCTAAGGGGAGTGCTGGTGAGGTAGACATTTTTGGAGTAGCATCTCCTCTGGGCACGTGACCGCACGGTGGTCACGCTCCAGTGCCGCCGGATTTCATTTACAGCCAGCAGGCACGCCACGTCGCTTCCCTGGGATTGAAAACAATCAGGCGGCGCCACCAAAGATTTATCAGTGCCTTTCGAAGTGAGTGCCATCGAAGGGCAATAACCGATTAAGTCCTGAACCCAGCTTTATCACTGCTCCTTCGATTACCCAGCTTATTGGGCAAATAATTGCGGTGGATTATAAATTGTAACAGGCTTTAAAATTTCAATTTGTACAGGGTTTTTATGTTGAGAGCATTAAAATGGAGTTGATATAATAAGGATGGCCTGAAAGGTTTCTAAATTTTAAGAGGTTATAAAATGGGGTTGAGCAAGGCATTTCAACAACCAAGAATTTATGAACCATGATTAAAATATAATGAAGAGAGAGCTTAGGGTGCGGATAGATAGATGGAGAGATAGATAGATGGATAGATGGATAGATAGATGGATAGATAGATGGATAAAATTACTACCTCTCAGCTTCTGCTAACAAAACTACATATTCCTTATCCAATATCCTTCCTGTTAGCCAATTCCAATTACGTTCCTTTACCACTCCCAACGAGCCCTGTTGATTTTTCCTTCCAAAAAAGAACCCACATTGTCGGACAGCTGGCTTTCCCTTGGTTTCTATTGCAGGCAGTTTGATTGAAAATTCATAGTTTCGCCCGTAATAATCACATCATACAGATACATGATGCAGCCCTCTTTGCCAGAAATTGCCTCAAAGCCAAACCAATTTCAGGGTCCGAGATTGAAGCTGAAACTGAAACTGAGGCGGAGGTCCAAAGAAAGAGCCTGGGATTATGACATGCATCGAAAGGTTCTCATTAGCACTTGCATAAATAGATAGAAAAGATGGGGAACATTGTAAGGTTTTTTTGGACTTAAATTTTAGTATCTCTATCTTTGGGTTATTTCCATTTTTCCGCCTTGCATTTTGCAATGTTTGCCACTTGTTTGGCTTTGAGACATCTGCTTTCAATTTTGCAGATTGTCTTCTACAAATAAATGCAAATTTTATGCAAAACAAACGACACTGAGATAGTGGAAGATATATGGTTTTGTTGCTGGAGAATAGGGAAGAGCTCATCCTTGGTTTGCTTTTCCGCAGTTTGCTTGCATTGATAAGAGACTGTTTTGGTGTTTTTTTTGGGATTTGGGTTTGTTTTGAAATATTTCATATTGATAAAGAAGAGTTTTCTGGGGTTTTTCGAAGGTTTAGTAAAGATTTTTTCTTTAAATTGTTAATTTTAAGAGGAAATTCTAAAGGTGTTAAAGGGATTTTAAATAATTTATTTTAATGGCTCAGAGTTACTGGGGGCTTAGTAAAGGTTTCTTTTTAATTTCTAAATATTTAAAGTTTTTGTAAAAAGCCTCTTAATTTTTCTGTTTTCTGGCACACAAAGCCCAAAAATCTCCTGACTTGCTACCCTCTTCTAAACACAGTTTACATTTCAGCCCAAATCCAAGCTTTCGATGATTTCCAAAGCTACCAGGATTCCATTATTTCAGGATATACCCTTGGCTACATTTTTCAGAGAACCAAAACCGCTGTTCATTAGGCTGTTGGCAGCACAGCAAAGAAAACAGCCAAGCCAAGGCAAGGGAAATGTCCACTGGGGATTACTTTGCTTAATTCAACTGCAAATGAAAATTGTTTGTTCTGTAATTTCAATCTCTTGGTGTCTTGTTGACGTTGTCATTACGCCGATGTCTGGCTCTGGCTTTGGTCTCAGCCTCTCGGTCTCAGGCTCTGTGTTTTCAATCCAGGACTTCTTTCTCCCCGCCAGTGTTCAGTTCATCAAAGCGTAATCTGCACAAAATGGCGTCACTTCCTTTTGAGGGCGAGGTGGAAAAAAAAGACAAGCAGTCCAAGGAGGCAGGCTGGCTGGAAGGCTGGCTGTGAGGTAACTTTAAGGCTAACTATGCCGGCTCAGAGGATGGATGCCCCCTAAGCATCCGAAGGATCTTCCGAAAAACCGACTCCCTTGGCTCTCTCTCTCACCTAATGGAGTCATAATTCTTCAGCTCGTTAGCAATACATGCAGCGTAAATATGCTTGCGCCGAAAAGTATGCCAGGCATTTCTTTTCGTCCTTGCCACGTTTTTAAGGACCCACTACCCTAGAGGCAGGGCCTTTGGGCCATGAAGGGTCTGCTAGAATCGGGCACAGCTGAAATATTGGAAGTTAATTGATTTTTTTCGAGGCTGAGAATGTAGGGAGGTGGTGAGTGCTGGGTTTTCCAGTGAAAAAAAAAGTTTTCTTATCGTAGAAAATAAGGAAAAGCATAAGCTTTAGTATTTTATTTGATTTTAAAGTTAAGCGTGACGTAGATTTGTATTATTTTTAAATATTTACTAATTGTATTTAATATTTTTATTATTATTATTTTATTATTTTTTTGTACTTTTAATACTTTATGATTTCTTTTCAAGGGTATCTTTCTTTCATAACTTTTTTTAAAGCAAAATCCCTTACCATCAATTTGTTTTCCATATTCCTTGCAGCCAACTTTCCTTTAGCATCGGCTCTGTATGTGTAGGTGTGTGTGTGTGTGTGTGTGTGGATGTGAGTGTGCCTTGTTGTGTGTTATTTTGGGTGTGTGTCCGTGTTAAACCTTTTGCCTTTCGGGAAAGTTTCTGGGCCGTGGGCGTGAACCAACAGAATGGCCGCTCAGCCTGACAAGTTGCTTAATTGAAAAGTGTTTTGTTTGGCATGCCTCAGGCCAGGCTGGGGTTTTCTGCACTGAAAATAAAATATTAAGATGGTGATATATTACAGAAAAATCGTAATTAAATTCAGAGTTAAATTATGTATAAATTTGAAATAGGGAAAAGAATATTTATACCTAGAATTAAACCTAAATTCATGCCTCAACACCTGCCTTAATTTTTAGAAAAAATATTGTACAATTTTCTATACATTTATTTAGTTTAAATATATAGGAAATTGTACAAAAATATTTTTTCTAATAATTTAGACAAGTGCTTTTTATTTAATACAAGAACAAAGATTAATTTAAGGTATAAATATGAATTTTTTGTTTTTTTTCCCAGCATATCTCCTAGTCTTCAAGGTTCTTGGCCCCAACTGCTGATTTGGCAACTTTTACGTTCAATAATTTGCTGCTTATTTATGCGGGTGCTTTAAACCCGGCTAAAAACGGAGCAACAAAGGACTTCCGCTTTCTTTTCTCGCAGGACTTTGTCATGGCTTCTGTGATTACGCACAGGAGAGAGGCGAGTCCTTGCCGCATATTTATCACTTGCGCCACTTTTTATTGCATCCTCTTGCGCATATCGCTGGCTCCTCTCCTCCCCCTGTCCTACATCATAAATAATTATGTTATTTTAGATTCCCTTCTTTATTTTTTTTGTTGCTTTTCGCTTGGAACGAGATAAATTGTGGCAATAATTATCGCACATTTTTCAACACGGCAACATTTTTCAACGACTCTCAGCTAAAAATTGGTGACAGTTTCAGTAATTAAGTCGACATGGTGACTTAATGACACCCACCCTGGCCATGTTTATGTGTATTTTATGTATTTTTAATTAACTCTAGATGTTGATTCGGCAGATTCCGGGGGGGCCTCTCTGCCAAATTAACCTAATCAAAAGCAACACTCAGGTTTGTGTCTGAGAGTGGAGAGCTCCACTCTAGTCTGCAGTCTGTAGTTCAGCCTTTGTGTCTCAAGTGTTTGTCTGTCTAATTGGTAAATTTAATTAGCCGGCCACTGGCCAACGGTCACCTGGTTTTTGTGTTTGTTTTTCGCTGTGAGAAATTCCAATTTTCTGCTCAAATTTAATAAGCACACTTCTAGATTTCGGCTAGCCAGGTTCCTGGCTAAATTTATAGTGCTCTATGGTCCTTTCGCTTCCTGCTGGCTGCAAACGCAAGTTTAGTTTACCTTTTGCTTTAACTCTGACGTTAACGGAAATGCAACACTCTGGGGCGGTGTGTGCCACGCCTTGATTTCCGCCCTCCAGTCAGTCAACTGAGGCCATGTCAAGGGGTGGGATTTGAGAGTTCTTAGGGGTAAGAAAGGAGGTGTACTAAATATCTAGATAAATGTCTTGAATTAAATTTATAAAATATTAAAGGGAGAAAATCTTAAAAAATAAATAAATACAATATTACATTTCCTTTATTAATTAAATATAAAATTTTAAAAAGGGTTTTACATAATATATTATATTTACTTTATTTATTAAATATATTAACAGCCCAGAAACAGGTTTCTGAAGTTCTAAAAAATACTTTATTTTATTAAATAAAGTTTAATCTCCAGTTTTACTATAAAATTTTATATATAAAACTTAACTTATTCTGTCACAAATAAAATCCCGAATTGTTGCATCTGCCCTCGTTTCAACATAAAATATATAACATGGCTAAACTGCTTTGGCGCTGTTTACTGCAGTTTTCAATTAAGTTGCCAATGGCCCCTTCTGCCTGGCAATTTCCGTGTCCCTCAAAACTCAAACTCGACCAGGTTGCTCGTTGCTGCTGCTGTTGCTGCTGCTGCTTCTGCTGCTGCTTCCCTTTTTAATTAGTTGACAAACTTGCACATTTTTATCGCCGCTTGTTCGCTGTTGTACCTTTGCCAACTTGCTCCTGTTTGTCCGATTCCTGGCTCTCTGGTTCCTAGTTCTCTTATTAATTTCATTTTGCACTTGTAATTGTCAGTATATATGTATATATCGCAACGCATCGCTCATACGCCGCGTTGCACCGGAAATTAATTTCCGCTGCGCTTTGGCAGTAATAAAGCTAAAGAAAAAATAAAATGAATGAAGGGTTATTTCCTAAACAATGTCAGAAGCAGAAGGGACTTCAAGTGAGAGAGATAGGATAAATGGAACATAGAAAAAAATTGGAGCTAGTAAAGAAATTGAAATAATATTTATATTTCTTACATTATAATATAATAATAAAATATATAATAATAAAATGTATTTAATATTTTCTTTACATTTTTTTATATTCCAAGTGGAAGTTAAGGGACTCTTTAAGTGTTAAAATCCCTTTAGAAATGAATAAAATCTTCCAGCACACATGATTCCTGCTATTTTCTCAATATAAATTCTATTTTTCATATATTTCTTATACTTTTACTTTTAAAAATATTTATTGTTATTATTTTCTCTCCATGTACCTATCGAAAATCTCTTATAATAATCCTTTTCCTTTCTTTAACTGCCAGAATGTGCCCGTGTATGAGACTTTTCCGGCAGACTTGCAGCATTGGCTGATGGATAGCTATGGCATCAGTGCCACGGATGTCTTCCACAGCTGGGCAGGATTCAACAGCAGGACAAGAGCTGCTCCCCGGAAGAGCCAACTGATCTGCACTGCCGATGGACAGTGTTATGAGGTCAACAAAATTGTCACTGCCTGCTGTCCATTCTGAGCACTCAATAAATGCATTGAAACATTGAAAACAATTGAAGGGAAATCATAAATTTGTGGCCGCAGAACTCGCAGGACATGGGACACAATCCAATCGATTGCCACCAAGTTCCGGCATTGTCCGCAATGAGACCATTAAATACCGTAGCTCCTGTGGTCTCTGGTCATATGGCATCCATCTGTTGGCCAGTTTGGGTGCATGGGGAATGGGATGGAGGGGGGTTTCGGTGGACGTAATCGAAATCGGAAGCTGCCAAGAGCATTGACTGCTGATGCGTTGGGTCCTCTCTGTTCGGTCAGGGGGTTTTCTTCCTTTTTTTTTTGTGTGCGGTGCTTCAGTTAACTAACCGAGATTTTCCGGGTTCATTATACCAAGTTTTTTTTTGTGTGGGACTTCGATTTGGGCACAGGTAAAGGATTTACATTGTATTCTCTTGTTGGAAGAGAGATTTATGAGAAGATTGTTATAAATATATATTAAATATATTTTAAGGTAAGGACTTTTGAAATGATTTAGTTTAGAAATATAAATAATTGAATTAAATGAAATTAAATTACAAAATTAAAGGGTAGAAATCTCTAAACATATTTTATAAATTTTAATTTTCTGTAGGGAAAATTCTAAGCTTAGGCAAGAAAATCCTAAATATTATTTTCAAATTTTTTATATTATATTTATTATTATTATTACATATTATATTTATTTTCTTAGCATAAATTAAGGCTAGAATATATTTAAAACCTTTTCATTTCAAAACAAAATACTTGTGCCCACTTTAAAAAACCTTCAAAAAATTATTTTTTAAACTAAAATACCTGCTTTAAATTTCCTTACTAAATACCAGGGTATTAACCAATTCGACTATAGTTAAAAACCCTCCAACAAAAGTCCCTCGGGGGCTTTGTGCTCTTTATGCGTGTCTGCAATCAGCGACAACGAATGTTTCCATGTACGGAACGCGTGCCAAAACAAAAGGAAAAAAAAGAGAGAATTGTTACAACAAAAACCGGAAAAGCCCTGCCAACAACAACAACAAAAACGAGACCAAGAACAACTGCATCTGGGGGGAAAAATCAACATGCAACAGCGAAAAAATGGCAGCAACAAATGTCAGTTATTTTCATTTTGCTTTTGCCTTCGCCACCATCTTTTTACTTTTCCTTTATTTTTGCATGCTGTTTGTGTGCGGAAATTTTGTTTGTTTGTGTTTTTTACAGAAATCACACACTGATTCATAAGATAAATATTATTGAGGAAATTTCAGTAGAGCATATAGATGGATTTTCTGAAAAGTTCGATTATTTCTGGGAAATTGATTTTTTATAATCATTAACTTCTTATGGTGTTATGACACTATATTGGGGTTTTTGTTCAAGTAAGGTCACTCTAAACAAGACAAATAGGCAGGCAGTATGTGCGGATTGTTTTAAATATTTTTAATAAAATATTTATAATAATTTTTAATAAATTATATATAATTATTATTTTTTTAAGGGAAAAATCATTGTCACCATTTTATTTTGAGGTTTTAAATGATATTGAAGTTTATTTATTTTGTTTTTTCTTAATATTTAAATATATACAATATTTTTTTTTATTTTTCTTATATATTATTTATTCACTCTAAATTATTTTTCTTTTTTTTAATAAAAAAACTCAAGGCTTTCATAAATTTTCACTTACAAATGTTTGAAAAACGCACCACTGTGCTGCGTTCTGCGTCTCTCAATTGTTTCGCTGGTAAACAATGTGATTTTCAGCGTGAAATTTCATTCAATCGGTACGGGTAGAGGCCATAGACCACCCCACCCCACACCACCCCACCACCCACCTCAGTTACCAACTCATGCGATGGACATTGGTGGGCAATTTGTGTGTGTGCCAAGCGGCGCGTGTGTGCAATCGAAAAAATATGTCGAGAGGTTTTGCTGTTAAAAAATAAGAAAAAAAAATATGAAACCGAATTTTTGTTGATTTTTTTTAATATCCCCATTTTGCATTTTTTAGCGAGCGAATTGTTTTGTATATTGTCTGAGAGGATTTTGGGTCTTTTTCTGTGGAAAAATTGCTTTTAATTGATCAAATTGTTTAAATATAAGGCATTCATACGTGCACGCATACATTTGTTTGTTAGTGTTTCGCCTGATGGGTTTTATATATTTATTTTACATTTCAATTTAGCTTGCATTTACTTTTATTGTTTATTTGCCTTTGAATGTTCCATTAAAAACGTGGGAAAAAGTGATTTTTTATGTCTGTAGTTGATGTTTTTATTGACATCATAATAGCAATTAACTAAATGTGATTTGAAATTACATTTTTTACCTTTACATATATATTTTTTTTAAATTCTTTGCTGTCATTTAAGTTTTTGTCAAGACGTTTATCTATTTAATTAAAAATATAACAAAATAATGTCCATTGTTTTATTAATGTTTTAATGACATTTCTTTTATTATTGAATTTATTGAACCATTTGCTTATTTTAATTAATGCCACCAATGTCATCTGCAGCAGGCATTAAATTCTTTAATAAAAATACAAATAAAATAATAACATGAACATATTGAAAAATAAATAAATAATTACTTGTATACATGCAAGGGTTTTTTTGTGGGTTGTATAAGAGTTCAGTTAAGGCCAAAAACCAATGTCTGAAATATTCGGTAACGATGCATTTAAAAATAACAACATGGATTATAAAAAAAAACATGCTCTTAATTGCTGCTCGTTTAAATAAAAAAAAAAGAAAAAAGTGAATTAAAAAAAACAAGAAAAGAAACTAACTTCGGGGGGCCGAAATTTGTATACCCTTGCTGTTTGCCATAGGATCGGTCATTCAATCAAAAATCTATCATAACTAAGCCAAAAAAGCATCAAATTCAATTCTAAAAGCTTTTCTGTGCTAGTTTTTTCTAGGGTAACGAAACTGCATACTAAATTTCACATTTTAGAAAATTGAAATTTTTGCCAATTTCTTCTTTGACAATTCAACCATTTTAAGACCTCAAAAATAAAAAAAAAAAATTTAAAAATTTGTTTTCTGCTAAAACATGGTTAGATCGACTCGGCTTTTTGTACTGATCAAGAATATATATGATTTATAGGGTCGGAAATGACTCCTTCGCTGACTAAAATCATAAAACCCCTCAGGAAGGTCTAAAATATTCACACTCTTTAAATTAATATTTGTATGTATTTTAAATGGTAATTTTTTGTATAAAAAATATTATAACTAAGCCAAAAAAGAATCAAATTCAATTCTGAAAGCTTTTCTGTGCTAGTTTTTTCTAGGGTAACGAAACTGCAAGGGTATAAATATAGGGGAATAGAGAACTTGTTGATTTACTCTTCTTGAAATTCTTTTAAATAATATATAAAATATAAGTTTATATAAATAATATTTATAAGAAAAGTTGTTAATAAGGTTGTTACCTAATTTATTTTATGAAATTTTTATTTATAAATATTATATACTTAAAAAATATAAATGAAACCAGAATGTTTTGTAAGCTTTTCTAGGATTTTCTAGGTTTTAAATTTTAATATAAATATAATTATTAAATGTTCATACTTTTTATTTGTATTTAATAAATCCTTGAATAAATATTCGGCACCTTTTAAATGTATTTTCTTGTTTTTAAATATTTTTATTTAAATTCCCATTATTATTCACAACCTTTATCATTTATTCATACAACTCTTTATTTCCTTATCATTTACCAAACGCCCATCACTTTCGCGGCTCTTTATTTAAACTCTGTTGCAATTTAATTAAAGAGGCCCCGCCGATCCAAAATGAAATATATATAAATAAATGAACAAACAGACAGACAGACAGACGGAAAGGGAAGAGTGCCGAAAAATATTCGCGAGCGAGCATAAATGCCAGCGATTTTCCGGCTGCCCTTGCTTTTCCGAACTTAGCAAGAGGCGCTGCAGCTGGGAAAATGTTGGCTTAAAAGCACCGCTTGTGGCTCAATCTGTCTGAGTGCCACTCCCACATACATACATACATATATCTGTTCCTATGCCATATAGTCCTATATAGGTAATGCATGTAAACGATATTGCTTCACTCAACTGTCAGAGGGCATTAAATAATATTTTACGACTGTGTGAGAGGCGGTGGGGAGTCATCATCATCATCATCATCCTCAGGGCCTGTGACATTTCTGACTGCAGGCTGCCAGGGAATCCCGAAAAGGCGGCACCATGGCAACTCCACAGAACGGACAGGCAGACAGACAGAGGGACATATATGTCATGTGCAGAATTATGTAACACAAGCAGGAGGGGTGTAGGGGTGTGGCAAGGGCATTTAATTTTTTAAGCAAACTAAAATTCTGGCAGCCTTTCCATCTGCCTTCACATTCAGCATGCAAACTGTGCATAAATGGTTGCATACTTAGTGGGGCTTGGCAGGCTGGCAGGCTCTTCAAAGGATTCGCTGGATGCAATGACAGCCTAGACCTAGTTTTGGGTTGTTTGATTTTTGCTGGAAAAGCGAGGATTGAAGAGGAGTAATAAATAATAATAGAACCACTTCTTAAAAACCACTTTAATTTGTTCCCAAAATTTTCATAAATTCTTAGAAATTCCCCAAACCCCTGACAGCTAGGAGCTATTCCCATCAGCAATTTGATAGTTGACTAAATTTATAAGGAATGCATTGCCAAAAAGGAAAGCACTTAGATATGAAATTTGAGAAGTTTTGCCTTCCCCATTTTCCTTCTTTTCCCCCGCCCCATCCCTGGGGGAATTTCACCTGCTGACGACACGAACGTGTCCAAAATGCGGGCCTCAATAATTTGAGGTGAGTTTATTATGCAGATAAACAAAATGGGGTGCCTACCTCGATTTTTGCTGATTCAGCATTAAGTTTGGCCAACTCTCAAACACACACACACACATGGCAGGCTCTTTTGGCCAAAAAGCCTTTGGGCCATGGTCAACAATTGCCGGCAATCATCTAGGCAGTTACGTTATTACAACAACAACGAGGGAGGAATACGCCAAGGGTGAGCCTAAAACTTGGCCATAACGGGAGTTATCTGACTGTAAATACATAATCTGCTGGCTGGCTGAGAGGCTGGCGGCAGACTGGACCAAAGGAGAACCCGTCGACGTTGCAGCTTTCTGGTTCCCAAAAGATTTTAGCTGCCTCTTGTGCACCTTGAATACGGATTTACTTTTATTGCCACAGCTTTACGTTTGCCCACTTCTTAGTAAACTGAGAGAAAAAAGAAAATAATAAAAGAAATAGTAGAAAAAAATAATAGAAACAATAATAAAAAAATAATAAAAAAAATAATAAAAAAAATAATAAAAAATATAATAAAATAAGAAAATAAATATTGAAATAATATATAATGTAAATCCAAGCTTTTTATCTTTATATTTCTATAAAAATATAATTTAGCTCGTTTCTAAAATAAAAAAAACTTCTGTTAACCTTTTTTTATATATTTAAAATAAAAATTGAAACATATACATTTATTTTTTTATAGACATATTTTCCATAAATATGAATAAATATTAAATTAAATTTTTAATACATTTTTATTTTCATTTTCAAATCCTCAATTATTTTGGTTTTTGTAAATATTTTTTAAACAATTATATATTTTTTATAAAATTATATTTTTAATCCAATTATCCAATTTTGTAAAGAATTAAACCCCTCTTATATATTTCTCTCTCTGCAAAGTCTCCTTTTCTTTCCTACTTTTTGTTGTTGTCGTTGTTGTTATTATTGTGGGTTCCGCATTTAGGGTTAAGCAGGTGCTTTATAAACCAAGCATCCAGGTGGGCCAGCCTCCAACGGTAAATAAGGACAAATACCACGTAATGGGCAACCTGTGCGTGGCTGAAGCCCCATCGAGCAAAAACTAGAGGGATAGCCCAAGTGAATCCCCTAACAGGGAGGTTACTGGGGGAACCAGAGGAAAAAAAGGGATGTTGAGGCTGTAAAATTTTCACCTTTTAATGTGTCCCCAAAGCGCAATCAAAAGATCCTTGTCAGTCACTTTTGTTTAGTTTTCTCTTTCCGAAAGGTGAAGACGTGAACCTGTCGCTCTGATATTATTGTCATCTTATTCATAATTACTTAAGCCAAAGTCTGCCACGACGACATCTTTAGTGGCTCGTGAAATATTTATTAAGTGGCCGTTTTTGGTGTGGCGCGAACTTCTAAAATACTTTTCCCATAATTTTGACGATATTGCCTTGGCTTAGATTCGGCCCAAGAAGTTCTTATGGGTTATTAAAGTCCAAAGTTTTTGATAGTTTTCGACTTGTGAGAAAGCGGGTTTTAAGTGGGCATTATCATGTCTGAGTGTGTGTGTGTTTTAAACTTTTTAACTTACGGTTTTTCTAAGCACACATTTAATTAGAGTAACAGGTTGGTGTCTTTTTTCAAGGGTAGTTTTAATGTTTTTATATAATAAATATGCAGGAATTATAAGATTTTAACTAAGGTTTTCATGGAAGATTTTAAATTAATTGATTTTGTTTTAGGAAGGATTCTCTAAATAAAAATATTATTTAAAACGTATCTAAAATTAGAAAAATAATTTATTTATCCAAATATTTAGTTTAGTATTTTATACAAAATATATTAACAAAATATATTAGTTTTAAATAAATAATAATAATAAAAACATCAAAAAACAAGCATAAATACTAACATAAAATTAATTATTTTATTGATTTTAAAATTTTTAAAAATTCAGCAAAGTCTGATAAATTATTAAAACTGCTTTAAATATTTCCAATCTCTAAAAATAATCAAAACCTGTTCCTAAATAAAACCAAAATTCTAAAAAAAGCTTGTATATCTTCCCCTCCTTTTACCCCCAAAAAAATACCCCTTTATAGCCATAAATCCAGGCTATACCCTCTCCCAAACTATATCAAATATCAACTATAACTCACCACAAAGCAAATACAAATTGCCTTATATAATCTACACTAGCAACAACAGCTCTAAGGCCACCAAAATCACATAATTCATACACACACACACAGCACACACACTGTGTATACACACACTCACTAGGTCTGCCACGTGAAAGACAAACAGAAAACAAATGGAGAAACTAGCGGCAAAGCCCGGCCGACATATTGAAATTCATAACTACATACAGAAACCAATTACAATATCAATTTAAAAGGGATTAAAAGGGCCCAGTCCCGGTCCTGGTTCCAGCCACTCTCTAGGCTTAGGGCCATGGTCAAAATGCGGCGTACTTTGCGGCATATTTAAGATTTGTTCCCTTGTATAAAATTTTGTGAAATTGCAAATTGTATTTGCCAGAGCCCCGCCAGCCAGGAAAGGAAGCGAGCGCACAAAACTTTTAAATGAAATTCTGAGCTGGCAGATTTTCATAATAAATAACGAAGGCATTACACGAGCATAATCAAGCATAATGCCATTGTGTAACATCAAATACGAGTGAGAGCGTATATTGTATTGACTCAACCGAGAATCTGGATGGAAGATGCCCTCAACAAGTGGCAAAATCTTTCTCTTACCCAGCGATTTGGTGTGGATTTTTGCATAATTTATCTTGTTTGCTTGTTAAAATCCAAGGAAAATTCGTACACAAAAGACCGCAAGACAAGTATTGGTGGCCAGCGGGCCAAGAACTAATTTGGCTAAGTAAAGATGAAGATAGAGAGTGCAATCTGGTGTACAAATAGAGATAGAAAAAACTGCAGTCTGCATTAAATTGAAACGCTTCACCAAGCAATTTAATTTTCAAAAAAACGATAGGTATATATCACTTATCCCTCCCAGAATTACTTGCTTGTCTTTCCTCTATGCTTTCATCGATTTGTGCCATCCATCATGTCCATCAATTGCTGGGTCTTAGGCCCTGAGACAGATAAATCAGTTAAGCATCGTCATGTCAAGTTAACAGGCGATTACAAGGGGATTTACCTGACCAGGATATGTGAACGTGGCTGAAAGGCTTTTGCAGAAGGTCAAGATGAGTCAGGAGGAGACCTTTTTCCCTTAGACTTTTAGAGGATATTAAATTGTTTTAAATATTAAACAGATTTAACTGTTAATTAAGCTAAAAATGTAGTGTTCATAAACTTTCTCAGACATCTTTAAAGACAGAGGCTTTCATCTTAAAGAGAACCCAATTAACTATAGCCTTGACCAATGCATCAAATTAACTGGCGATTACAAAGGGCTTTCGACACGGACACCCAGGGATATATATGTTTATCCATATATATATATACCCTTACGATAACCAATCAAGTGTAGGCGACGCAACAAGCAAATGACAATTGAAAGAATAACAAGGCGGACAGACAGACACAGACACAGACAACACAGTCCTTTCCACAAGCCCGCTTGTTGATAAAAGAAATTAAACACACACAAAAAAACACAGAAATAAAAGAAAGTTAAGCCCGCAAGACAATTGGCAGCGGGTGGGGAAATGTTCAAGGGGGGGTGGGAAATGGTTAAAAGGGGCTTTCCTTTCTGGTTTGGGGATCTGCGGCATTTGTCTCGACTGTCGACTCTGTCTCGTTGACATGACGTTGCGCGAATTGTGCGCCAGGATTGTCTGCTCTGCCCGGCTCCTTGTTCTGTATTCAGTATTCTGTGTTTTTCGGTTTGCTTTTGCCTTTGCCCGTCTGTTGTCTGCCTACCACCAAGTGAGCAACACGCGCCAATGATTATGTTGCCGTTGACAATGACAACAACAACAGCAGGAGGAGCAACAGCAGGAGGAGCAGCAGCAACAGCAGGAGGAGCAACAAAGGGAGCAGCAGCAGCAGGAGCAACAACCATAGCAACAAGAGTCTTAAGTAGCAGCACACAGAAAGAGCAAAAATTTTACTATTAAATTGAAAATTATAGTGTCACTATATAAATATTTAGTTAATAATATTAATAACGATATTTCCTGTTATCAATTGTATTAACTAAATATTTATATAACTTCTAAATTGTTTTTCCAGTGCATGACCAGCGATATTAGCAACACTACCAGCCCCCATAAGAAGCAACAGCAACCAGCAACAGTCAAGACTCCGAAAGGAGTCTGCAACACAACTCAGCAACATTTAGTTGGCAACATTCGGACTCCTGTTGGCGGCAAATGTTCGGTTGCACGAAGCTTTTCATTGACTAAAAGTGACGCAGGCGCAGCATTTAACTCCGATTTAAGACCAATCCTCCTTCTTCAGTTTCAGTTCGTTTCTGTCACTCGTGCGTGTTGGTCACACGCGGCGTATGAGTGATATCTGCGGTGGGTCAAATTCGTTTTATTGGATTTTTGGCGCAAGTAAGCACACAAAAAGCCGGCTAAAGTGTCGCTCCTCGTGTGTGTTTGTGTGTTGACGGAAATACTTTGAGCAATCGAAAGCAAAAAAAAAATACAAAAAAATATAGAGAGAGGGAATAAAAAAAACCAAAAGAAAAAGTCTTGGAAAATTAACTTGGCCCATTCGTTATATTGCGAGTATTGTTCTTAGTGGTTATATATTTTGTTTGGTTTCTGCCCAGGCCCCCTGCCAGCCCAAAAGTAGGTTAATTGACGTGTGTTGTGGGCGTGTATCTACGGGGGAAATAATAAAAATATATATACTACGTACGAAAACAAATAAGAGAGCTGCTTGCTGTCCTCGGTGAAGTGGTCAATTGCCCCAGCCAGAGGCCCCTGAACCCATCTACTACAGTATATCATAAGGGTGTGAGCCTTGGCCCGAGCTTATTAAAGGTATGTAAAGGAGACTGTTTTTATCGGGAAAAATGTAAATTGTATTAAGAAGGCTTAGAAAGTAAGAAAAAGTAATAAATGCAGGCATAAGAGGCTGCGAGTTAATTATGAAAAGCAAAGAAAATTTAAAGAAAAGTGTGGGAAAGGTTGAGCGGGAATGGGTTAAATTTAAAGGGAAATAAAATTAATATAAATCTGAAAATGTCGTAAAAAGTGTTTATATTTATTTAACAAATTTTTGAAATATTAAAAAGTTCAAAAATTAAAGTGAGCTGCCTTGTTTATATTAAATAAATAAAAGGGCTATTCTAAACACTTTTTTTAATTATTCCTATCATCAAAAATGTAATTGCTATCGACCAACTAAACTAATGGCCTTTTAAATAACTTCTTTTGAATTTTATGGGGGGTCATTGCATTGGCCTGCCGTAAATTTCCATAATTTATCAATAATGGTAGCACAATGCATTTGCAAAATATCTATTGTTTTTAGCTGAATGAGTCTAGCCAGCGATAAATTATTTTCCCTTTGGCCAATTTTAATTAGTTTCTGATATGAAAAAGGCAACGGAAATGTGGGAATCAATGAACTGTCAGTTATGGGCATCGATTAAAAAATATTTTATGAGTACAAAAAATGAGTTAAAGTTGTAAAGGGAGTAAATATAATATTTAAAATTTAATATATTTTTTGAAAGAAGAAAGGTAATATATTCAAATAAAAGTATAATTATAATAATTTATTTAAAAATGTTTTTTTATAGATTACCTAAACCTTTTAAATTTATTTTCATTACATATATTTTTTTAAATAAATATTTTTTTTATTAATAATATTTTTTAAATATTTATAATATTCAAGTTAATTGAAGTTACTTTTACTTGATCTCATTTTAAAATTTACATTTATAATTTAATCCCAATTAAATACCCAATCCTTTTTAACAAAATTTGTAATGCAATTACTCTTAGTTAGTCAAATAAAAATATTAGTTTAGAATCCTGCATTTTAAACATTTGATTTTAATTGCAAAATGCCTGACAAACTATTCCTTAATTAGCCACATAATCCAGATGAATTTTTCGTCTATTGTCGCATTGACACTGCAGCAAAAAACATGAAAAAATAAATATATACAATATAGTATTTATATATATAATGCCAAAAGGGAATTACATTGCATAACCAGAAACAAAACATATGCAAAATAAACTTCAAACAAATGTCCCCAAACACACAACAAAAATTAAAAAATAAACAAAGTGAGCAAAGGGTTCTGGGGTGGAGGAGTGGTTGCTTTTCGGTGCCTTAAAGGCAACTCGCAACTCTGTTGCACAAAATTATTAATTCTTTTTTTTTCCCAGCTCCAAGTTGTGGCTATGAGTGTGTGTGTTTTTGTTGGTTTGGTTTGGTTGGGGGTGTGTCAAAATTTAAAAGCATTCCTTTGGACCGGGCAATGTCCTGGCAGCTGCGGGTCTGTGTGAGTGTGCCTTTGCCTTTGTTTTATTATTTTGCGGAAGCTGCGAACCAACATTTATAAAAAGGTTTTTCTTGCTCGCCGGGCTACGTGAGCCACACACACACACACACACACACACACCCGGCACATTGCTCTGCATTACCGTTATTTTATGACGGAAGTACATTTAAGCAGATTTTTTTCCACGAGACTCGCTGGCACAACAAAAAAGGGCTGCTGCCAAAATAAAAGAGCAACCGAGGAAATTTAAATATTTTCTTTTACGCTCTGCTTTTCATTTGCCCGTCTTGCTAAAATTTATGGCCAACGAAATTGGAATATGCCCCAAAACAACAGCAACAATAATAAAGACACAGCACAAAGTTTACTTCGATTGCCATAAAAAATATAAATAAAAAAAAGATCATAGGGACTTTTGTGTGGCAAAAAAAAAAAGAGCTAGCTTAGGGATGGTTAGGTAAAGAAGTAGATTAATTTGCTATCGATATATTCAAGTTCTAAATAGAAAATAAAATTTAAATAATAATAGAAAATAATCGATAACAAATTTTAATAATTCAGAAAATATTTGCCATTAAAAAATGTAATTATATAGTTAAGTTTTATATTGAACAATCGATATATTATCGATAATATTCCATTGATATATTATCGATAAATATATCGCTCATTCAAATCTGCTTACGAACAATCAATTATAATGAATAGTATTGGTTCAAAATAAAAATAAACTAAACTAAAAACTATGTAAGAACCGAATTTTTATGAATACATCTTTTAATTTTAATCGATAACTTATTATTACTTATTTTAGATATGTAATCAAATATTCCATTTAAAGAATTTAATATATTCGATTTTACTTACCAACTTCTCGGCCTAACACAAATCCATTTAATAAAACCCAAAAAACCAAGAAACAAGAAGTCGCGTCCCTGAAATTCCCCCTCACATCGCTACCACATATTTCATTAATTGAAATTTAATACAATTACCAAGGCGAATGTGTGGAAAGCCAAGTGAAAGTCGGCACCAAAAAACACACAAAAATTCAAAACATCCACACACACACATTCGCCCAGCTCTGCTCTGGGCTCCGCCGGGTGAGAGATTCTTTGCCAAGTAAGTGACTCAATAAATAAATTTACTTGCCAACTTTTTGCGTTGCTGCTGCTCTGCTCTGCTGGTGTTGTGGCCTTGGGGGACTGATTGTTGCTTTCTCAAGGTAGATTTGTGTCCCAGGCACAGGCACAGGCCGTGGCCCCAACCAAGTACTTTGCCAAAAGATCTGAGGATACTTGGAATCGTAATAAACAACACTTGATCGGGACAGGAGCAGGAGCAGGGACTTTGGCTGGGGCATAAAGTTAAGTGTACTTTTTGCTGGGGCAATTGGAATATATATTTCAAGAATTTAACTAGATAAATGAGAATAAACGGAGCCATTCATTCTAAGAACACCAAATATTTCATAATGGAATCAAAGAATATATCAAACAATTTTCCGGGAAATATTTTCTATTCACTTTGGCTTAGACCTAATTTTTCGAAGGATAGAATTGGTTGTTTTTTGAGATATTTAGCTAAAATTTAGAGATAGTATCTTAAAAAATATTGGAAAAATGTATAACATAGTCTAATGTATTTTATATTATTTAAAAAGTCAGTAAATCCGTTTTAAAACATTTTCCTAGATTTTAAAATTAGTTTAGTTTCTGTTTTAAAGAGCTCTCTCATTATTTTAATTTATAATTTACAGGTTCCAAAAGTAGTCTAACTTCAATACCTTACCATAATTTAATTATTTAATATATTTACCCAACTTTTCACTTTCCCAATTCCCCCTTTAAACCATGAATTATAGAAACCCTCTGCGTTATGATCTAATCTAAGTGAGGGTCGTAAAACAGTATTCCCAAGAATGCGAACTTGAATTTGCACAGCATTAGCACGAGGGCAACCGAAAAATAGGAAAAGCTGGAGGAAAAAAACCAGCAGAGCTGAGAGCATTTATTAAGTAAGTGAGCTATTCAAAATCAAAGCAGCGGAAAAATCCAGCATGTCGAGGAGGGTGAATGTGTCGCCTGATGATTGTCAGGCAAATGTCAAGCTCAAGCTTCAGGGGATGCGATGCTCAGCTAGTCTCACGTCTTGCACACTCCCCCCCAACTTTCCCACTGATTTTCTCCGGATTTTACCCTGCTTTTCTCACCTCTCTCTGCACCTGCCCTTGCACCTGCACAAGGTACTGCAACAATGTGCAGACATTTATGGCACCAGATGCCGTCGGCAGGCAGGTGAAATGCCTTGCCTTGAGTGGCATCGCAAATGGCAGCTGCTGGCTGCTGGCCCGCCATTCTAATGCCGCCGCCATTTCCATGACATTTCCGTGGTGCGTTTGCCGGAGCACTGAAAGCGCATTAGCTTTGTCATTTATCGCTGCATACTTCCCGGCATCTTTGTTGCCAATTCCAAGAGGGCCGCCAGAACGTTGGCTTAAAGCGTACCTTTTCACTTCGAACTGAATGCTAGCAGCTTAAACTTAAAGTTAACTTTGACTTTTGTTACAAGGTGACTTTGCTTTGCCTTTAGCTCTTGGGTTTTGTGATATTTTAGCCAAGAGGTGAAGGGATTAATATTCTATAGTTAGGGGTGGGATTTTCTTACGAGGAGTTTTCTTTAAAGAAAAGATTGATTAGGATATTTTAAGATATTTTATTTAGGCAAATTTGATTTTCATTTTAAGCCTGAGTAACCCTAAGAATAAAACTTTAATAGTTTTAAACCAAACATAGTATTTCTATACCCAAACCTCTGCTTTTAATATACACAATTTAAATATATGTACATATAAACAAATATATATTAAATATATATAACACATCACCAACCAATATGCATTTGAGGTCGGTCTCCTTTGTGCCATTGCTGCCGATGATGATGTGTGCTGACATATTTTGCTTATCAAAGTGCCACTGACAGATGGGGGGCGACCGAGCAGAATGTTTGGTTTTGGTTCCGGCCAAAATGTCAAGGTTCAGCATGCTTCGTTAGCTGCATTTTCATAATGTATATATCAAGGTTTCCTTCCCAGAGGAGAGAGCAGAGCAAGAGCCTTAATTAAAGGCTTGAATTTCCAATTTTCAGGCATTGAAAATTAATTTTATATAGACAGAAGAGGTAGTTACTCTCCTTACCTTTCACTCTTCCTTTGCATAAAAAGTGTGAACAATTTTATTGTGTGGAAAATTTGCTTGCTCACATATGTGTGTGTGTGTGTGTGTGTGTGTTTGGGAACATACTCTTGCATAATTTAAAAATGCCCGCATCACTCATACGCAGCGTTGCACGTGATATTTCGTGCCAGGCGGCCAAGGTAACAACAATGGAAAGGTCGCATTTTCAACGTAGTTGGAGTTTGTCTTTTCTTCTTTTTTGTTTGCTTTTTGGTTTCTCTTTTTTTTCTACCCCATTTTGTAGTTTAGCCATTGTTTGTTTTAAACTCTTTTTCATACGCTA